TCCACTTGAAATGTTTTCTTTTGTTTCCTCCATAACCATTTTTATAATCCTGTGACAGAACTCTTGGTCCAACTTCTATATTCTCTTCACTTTTTTCCTGTGATCAGTTGTATTCTGTGATGGTTTCACTGAAGTTTACATCTGATTCAATGAGTTGAGTCTTTTCTACAAAAGGCTATTAATTGATATACATGAAGATCAAATTTTTTTTTTTTCTAAATACAGTATATTTAAAATGGTGTGGAGTATTGATATGTAAAATTATGAGCCTGTTTCTAGGTAAAAAAAAATTGTGTAATCCTATTTACATTTTTCACAAAATCTCATGTAAAGTATGTTTAATTCTAAAAGACTATTTTTTATTTGCTAACACAGTAAATTTCATCAATCATCTAATATCAAGACTATTTTAGAATTCAACTTCAATTTTAAATTACCATTTCAAAGAAGTGTTGGGGGTTTTGGCAAAACTAGACATCTAATTTAACAATTAAGATGCACATTTTAATTAATTTACATATTTCTAAAGGTTTTGTATATTTTTGAACTTTCAACCTTTTATCTGCAGAAGTCCCTGATGTAACATCTTACTGCTAATTTGTTGATATACACCTCAAGATTTGCTGACACACATGTATAAAATAAATTTTAAAATATTTTGCATTCTTAAAAAAACCACAACACCTGAGACTAAGCAAACTACCTACACTACATCAGTATTTGTATTTTTAAGATGTTGAAAGGATATAATATTTTTGCCAGTGATCATTTTATACATAACATTCTCTTACCTCAGATTTCTTGTTCCTGGTTTTTAGCATCACTACAGTTAACCCTTAAAAATCAGAACAAATGAAATATTAATTTGATGTTCTTAAACAGACTACAATTCACATTTATAAATTAATTCCAAATTGTAGTGTTCAGGGGATCAAGGATCTGTCTCTGGTTGCAGGACTGTGCTATAAATCTGCAGTGCAGAAAAAAGTTGTAGGTTGAAACTTAATTGTGATACTGAACTTCACAATTCCATTTGCCATAGATAATTTTAAAATATTTTGACACTAATAATTTAAAGAAATGCTTCTCAATTGCAGATGTTTGCTACCCACAGTATGCAGCTAATTAATATTGCCAGTATGAGGGAGAAAGATGTCATCACTCCAGGCACAGAGAATTACACTCCACATTTGTGGCTCAGTTTCACAACAGAGTAGCAGGAATGGTGAAGTTGTCATTGCTTCTCTTTATCTCCTTCATTCTGCAAACACACACAAACTTATAATTAAAGAAGAGGGTTGACATGGCTGAAGTCTCCCTGAAGACAGCAAAAGACATAAAGGCAATATGATAACCAATATACAACTATATATAAAATTTGTGACTTGTAAAATTGAACTTACTTTGTTGCATTTGTGCTTTTGTTATCTGGAAAGTATCTAAATCCATAAATGCTGTTGAAATGTTAGATTCTGGGCATGAGGTCTGTAGCAGAAAGCTGAAGTCAAAGCCACATCCCCTGTCCTCTTTCTTTGAGAAGAAAGATAAAGAAGTGTGTTGTCTCCTGGGTAATGCTGTCTGATTTTTACTATGAAAACATTCCACTTGTTGGTGTGGCCATGCTCTGGAAGTTGGTGCAGTTTGGCTAAAAGGCAAAACAAAAATAACCAAAATATAGAGCAAAATTAATGGAAGGAGCCAGTTCAAACAATCATGTGGCTGGTGAATAATGTGACCAAGAGGTTTGTAAGATCCCAGAATGCCAAAGTGCCTTGTCTTTATTTATCTCTAGGGTTGTGCCTCTCCCTGGAAATAGCAGACTGCAATGCAGAGGCTGGCTACAAGAGAGATTGAATGACAAACAATGTTAACCAAGCAACAAGAGAAACCTAAAAGCATTCAGTTCACCTTCCCCTTCTAGACAAGAATTGATTGCTTCCAGTGTGGAGTTTTTATGAATCATCAGGAGAGTGTGTCAGAGAATTCTGAAGACCAGATGTGCCTTTGTTAATAACAAAATATGCCATGGCCTGCCTGAAAAAACAGAGGCTGTGCGGACAAGCCTCAGTTTTGTGCCACCTGTTTTCTGAAGAATGAAAAGTGTGGAAAAAGATAAATACTGTGACTGAAAAAAGGTACAAAAGTGCAGTCTAAGTTATTCTTAAAGCTGTGTACAAGATTGTTGTCTGGATTTAATAAGTCAAATAATCACATACCATATTTCTTTATTGTACCAAATCATTTGTTCACCTAATGCAATATCCTGCCTCCAGTGGCCAATAATTGATATAGGGAAGAGATAAACACTACACAACATATAGAGCTGTAAATAATGTCCAGGAAATATTTTTCTTTTTCAGGCCACGAACCTTCTTTGCTCCTATTTGTGCACACCCAAATGCAAATTAAATACTGATGCTTCTTACCTGGTTTTTCCTAGAGTTTTGTCTGACTGATGCACTTCTTCCATTATATTGTCTGCATTCTGAAAAGCAACAACACTTCCACAACCTGCAGTAATACATCAATATTTGCATAAAAGCAGATTAATTCCAGTAACACGTGGCAAATGCAGTTATTTTGGGGCATTAGAATATTATTATAAAGAGGTATCAGGAAAAGAAACAAGAGCAAGTTACATTTCACTAATTCTTGTAATTTATTGATATGTTAATGTAAAACTTTGAATTCATTTTATTTCTTTGGTAAGTTTATTCATTCAATGTGCTACAAAAGCAAAGAACATCTTTAAAAAGCCAGTTACAGCTCCTATATCAGGAGAATAGAAACAGAAAACAAATATTGACAGAAACTCTACAGAAGTAGAGGAGCATTTAAAAATTTGAAAAATAAACTAAATCTTAGGCCTTTACAAAGGTAGAAACGTACTCTGACTTTGATTTTGTATTTTTTATGGTTGCTAGGTTTTGACAAATAGCCAAATTTCAAGTTGTTACTGTACTTTTCCAGCTTCAGATCTACATTTTACACTTTCAACACATAAACTTTGGGTTAGACTACCTTTTTTGCTTCTCCTCTTATTTTGTTTGTTGTCAGACATACTATCCTTAAATGTATCCATGCCCAGAAACCTGAAAAGAAAACTGTTAATTGATTTCCAATTCATATATACCAACTGTTACATTATATTTCATTATTTGAGACCAAAGTAAGACAAAAGCATTTAAAAGTACTTGAAATTATTCAAAGCACTGTAATCTAGCAGTGAATGCACAGAACCAAAGAGCTCAGAAAGTTTTTAGAGGTAAACCCACAACATATGCTATGTTGATGTTGACTTGAAAAGGCTTTATTCTTAATTAGAAGATTGTAATGTACATTTCCTATGACTAATCAGCAGTAACTGTGGGGAAAGAGCTGGCTGTCACCCTCCTGGTCAGCACAGCTGACCACAGTCACCACTCTTCTTGCCTGTGGTGAGTGTGCTGGGAGCTGCTTCATGTTTCTAAAAACACCAACCCTCTTTTCCAAGATTAAATTCCAACTCTAACAACACCATAAGATGACAGTAGCCTAAACAACACAGAACAAGCCCAAAGTGAAGACTGGTAAAGAAGAAACATGAAAGGGTTAAGTAAAAAGATCTGGAGTTTTGAAATTCTAGAAGGCTAATCCTTAAAAGAAAATTAATCCCCGTTAATAGTTTTGATGGATTTGGGAGTCTTCCTGAAAAACATAGTGAACTTCAGTTTTTCAAGTGGCAAGAATAGAAATCAAAGACAGTGAAATTCGCTATGGAGGTAGCTAAGAAGCCAGCACTCTTGATGTCTCATGATGAAGGCCAGATAATCCCTGACAATGTTCATCCTATTATGTTTGCCTGTTAAGAGTCAGACAGTGAACTTCCTAAAAACTTCCCATATTTTTTCGATACACAAAAAACCCCTTCAAAATAGTAACAGAATGTTCTGTAAAAAGGCAGAATCTTACAAATCTTACCCGGTTCTTCAGCAGCAAAAAGTGAAAGAGGCACAGCAACTCAAAGGGAAATTCGAGGGCATTTTCAGCTCGCAGCTTCCTTCCTTCTCTGGCCAGCGAGGAATTCTTCAGCAATGGCACAGAGTTTGGTTTTATTTTGGGCTGTTTCCCTGAGTGAGGAGCAGGCAGGAGCCATTCCCTGGGCTGGCACTGCGGCTGCTGAGTTTACACCGTGTCGCCCCGGTAACCCCTCAGCCCGAGGGAACGCGGCCGGCAGGATTTAATTCAAAGAGCAGCCGTGACCTATGGAAACAAACACAGCCCAGCTGAACCGCAGCGCTTCAGGCTCCCAGCACAAGTTGTCTCAGCACACAAACCAAGCCCTTTTTCTATCTTATGTTTACCTCTGTTTATGTTTTAATACCTGGTATGTTTCCACGTCATTTTTACTTCGCACTCAGTCCCCTCAGGAGGATTTGTAATTTCCTTTCTAGCCGCAGATTTTAAGGGTATTTCCTCCTTTTTTAAAAATAACAGACTGTGCTAAGGGGGAAGACAAAATACAAGAGATATAGTGGGCTCAAGTTGAGCTAAAAGGGTGTTTAAGGAAGCCGCTTTGCTGGATGCCAGAAGGATTTCGCCGCTCACTAGGTGACACAAGCGACGGGGAAGGCTTTGGATTAGGCGGGGACAGGGACACCAGTCCTGGGGGACACCTCAGCCCCCGGCTGGCTGACAAGGGCTGTGTTGTACATCTGAGGGAGCCCTTCTGGACTCTCGCTGACGGAGAATCTGTGGCAGCAGCCCCCGCTTCAGCTTCGCGCCGGTGTGAAGCGACTGCGCCCGCGGGTGTCCCGTGAGGGGCTGCAGCCGGCCGGGAAACAGAGACACGGCGTGGGGAGCCCGGGCTGTGCGGGAACGCCACCAGGACGAGCGACAGAACCCAAGAAAAACATTGTGAGGGGAAACCGAGCTGCGAAAGAGCCCAAAAGCGCCGGGCTGTGAAGGAGGTCCGGGCTTTGAGGAGGCGCCGCCCTCCGCCACGTTCCCGGCAGCCTCCGCCGCTGGGGGGGGCCGGCAGCGGCACAAGATGGCGGCGGACAGCGAAGTGAGTGTGTGTCCCGCTCCTCCGCCCGCTCCCTGTCCCCCGGCTCTCCCTCTGCCTCCCCCGCTCTCTCCGCTCACCGCCTGTCCCGCTCTCTCCCCGCAGCCCGAGTCGGAGGTGTTCGAGATCACGGACTTCACCACCGCCTCCGAGTGGGAGAGGTGGGTGCTGCCCGCCCCTCGCTGGGCGCGGGGTGCGCGGGGGCTCCGCCGAGCCCGGCCCGGCCGCTGCTGCCGGGGCAGCCGCTGCCCCCGGCCGGGAGCACCCGGAGCCCTGCCCGGAGCCTTTCCCGGCTCTTCCGCCCTAGGCTCAGGCCGCGGCCGAGGAACGGGTTAAGAGGCTCTAGTCGAGCTGGTTCTGAACTTAAGGTCCGGTTTAATACCTGTTTGCAAGGGATTAGAATATACGCTCAGAAGGCTTATGTGTTTTCTAAGTAGCTGTCTGGTTGTTCAGACAGTCATCTCATAGCTGAAGCCTTTAAAAGTTAGTAGAACAATGCACGAAGAAATTTAAGGTGAAGAACGCTCTTGCACTGTGAATGTATTATTTTTAAAATGCTTTTTCCAAGAGTGATAGCTTTTATGACAGGATTATGACAGGAGACAAAAGATTTTAAGTGCTACGCTTTAAATCTGAATTTAGTGATAATTTTGTCTTAAATGCTTATCTATCTGTTAACAATGAAGCAGGAGTTATGTGCTGCAGCTGTTAGGTGCTGCAGTACCAGAAAAAGAAAAGGTGAGATTCTTAAAACAGTCAAAAGATGCTCACAACTAAAAGTAACTGTCGTGTAAAATTTAAGTATAGGAAGACTGTTTAGTGTACAAGGAAGCAGTTTTTCTGGCTTTACTGTGATACTTGTGGTGTTTGTTTGTTTGTTTATTCTTTGGGCTTTTCTAAGGAATTCAATAGCAAAACAACACTGTCTGCTTTGAGGTGGCTGAATTGTAATACAGGTTTAGTGTTCAGCAAATAGTAATGCCTTTTTCCCTCCTAATAGGTTTATTTCAAAAATAGAAGAAGTATTGAATGACTGGAAACTTATTGGGATTTCTTCAGGCAAACCTCTAGAGAAGGTCAGTTGCTGCTTCTGAATTTTCCTGTAGAATTTGAATTGCTAATTAGTAATACAATAATGCACGCATGTATTTCATCTATTGCTGTTTTTGTAGGTGTGGCAGATAATGACTTTATTAGGGAATTTCACTTGTCAAAGTGTCAATTTGACGAACAATTACTGTCAATTCATTGGTGGCTCATCTGCCAAACAGGTTGTTTCCCTGACAAACATGGATCTTCTGTAGTGCTTAGAGATTTTTTTTAAATTCTAAGTTTGAATCTGGAGACATGCTTGAAGCTGCTCTAAATACTCAAGGAATCTTTTTGTCCTGCCTTGTGCCTTTGTCACACCTCATGTATTTATGGCTGAGGTTTGCACGGTGCTATTTGTGACTCAGTGTGTTTCATAGATGGGAGAGATTTTTTCAGCGACTAATTAGAGCCTTTGTGATGCTTTCTCAGTCCTGTGAAATGCAGAGGAAATTGCTGAGCTCTTCTGCATAGTAATGCAGATAAACTCAGCTGGTTTGTGTGAAATGGCTGCTGTGTTTCCAGGGGAATCTCAGTGCTTTTCATTCTGGTCAGGTACAGAGTATTTGGAATAAAACTTATGTTATTTAATAAATTGCACTTTAGCTGTCCCTGTATTCCTACATGTCTTCTTTTCTAGACCAGAGCTCTCTTCCTACCACCCTGTAAGATCAAAGGATTGTCTAAGTTGCTTTCAGTAGGAGCAGTGGTGCTGATTTTTTTAGACATTCCCATGCTGTATTTTTGTTTAAAAATTAATTATTCTTACACAAGTTTTGTAAGTTGTAGATAAAAATAATCATTTGTTGGTGAAGGTAAATATCAAGGTAATATTTGCACAGAACAGTTTAGATATAGATAAAGTCCCAGGTGGGAAACTTCTGTCTCTGGGCAAAGATGAGGCTGTAACAGATGTGCAGTTGCATATGTGAGGATGCAAATCTTTATTGCCATGTAGTTCTGAAGACTCCAAGATGATATTTGATTTTTGGAATGAACATGATTATTGGCAACATGGATTTTAGCAGCCACCTACCTTTATAATGAAGAGCTTTGAGAATTGCTTATTGAAATTAAATCATGCTGAGCCATTAGGCAGTAGAAAAATGTGAATCAACATTATTGATCACCTAGGCAATATTTGAAAGACTAATTTTAAAGACTTTTAAAGACTAATGAATGTTAACCTAAATTTATGAGATAATATCTTCTTTTTTTATATGCAGGGTATATTTACCACAGGAACATGGGAAGAGAAATCAGATGAAATTTCGTTTGCAGACTTCAAATTCTTAGTTACCCATCATTATCTTGTACAAGAGCCCAGTGACAAAGATGGGAAAGAAGAGCTGGGAGAAGGTACCTGATAGTTCCTTCCATAGTTGTAAGGATAATGCCAGAAGACAGTGTCAGAATGTGGAGTCCATGGTGTGCTGATTTGTATCTGTGTGGGATTTTCTGAGGTCTGATGAGTGTGATCTGACACTTCTGCTTTTAGTTTGCTTTGCATTCACACAGTGCTAATACAAGGCAGTTGTAAGTGAGCTGGATGGATGTGATGATACATTGATCATGTATCAATTTTTGTCACAGATGCCCTTCCTCTGCCAATGCAGGACTTGCTGTGCATGAACAATGACTTTCCTCCTCGAGCCCACTGTCTGGTGAGATGGTAGGTGTGCTGCCTCTCATCTCTACTGCAAATGAGCATAGCAGCTGCAAAATCTGGCACAATCAGTTAAAAACTTAAGTAAAATGATTCTTTATACTAGACACAAGAAAGAAATGCAAAAACAGCCTGCTATAGTGGGCCTATCTTTAATTTGGTTTTTTTTCCCCCAAATATTTTTCTCAATTTCATATATTAACCAGGCTTTTACATATGTAATATTTAGGTACATTCTTAAAAAGGAAAGCTGCACCACTTTAACAAACAACAATTATATTCTTAGTAATGCAAATCTTGAGCACATAATAGGATTGGTTCTAGAGAGATTGGCTTTATGTATAAACAGTTTCAGTCATTATGAACATAAGCTGGAAAACCTCAGGACTGCTAGACCTGGAAGTGCTCCCAGTCAAACACATTGCAGTTGTTGGAATGCTGTTACACTCAGGCAGTGTGTGAGTTCAGATCTGCAGCACCCCATGCCCACTCAGTTCTTGGCCTCTCTAAAAATGAAGAGGTACTTGCATCAAATTAACAAATTTCACAATCTGTTGGTGGCAATTACGTGCTCCAGGTCACAATATTTTTTAAGAATCATGTTTCAGCTGGTTTGCCAGGCACTAGGAATGTGCTTTTTTCTCTCTGTCTCTCAAGGTACGGCCTACGTGAGTTTGTGGTTATTGCTCCAGCTGCAAATAACGATGCTGTTATCAGTGAATCCAAGTGCAACCTCTTGCTGAGCTCCATTTCCATTGCACTGGGCAACACTGGCTGGTAGGTGAAACATAAACCTTTTTACATGTCCAGGTAAAACTCCAGCCTTGGTGAGGAAAAGGTATTAAATTGTTAGCAAAGTACGTTCATCGGTTTTTGTTTATTTGTGTAATATTGTTAGAGAAGGATTTTAAAAATCCCCATGTATAAAGATTGAATAATGTTTTGTTTATTTTAATTATTGTTTGAAAACCTTTAGGGCTGTTAAAAGCTACTAGAAGTTGTAGGAATAATATGTAATTTATAAAACATCACTTTTGCAAGAGGATTTCTTCTCTATGTGTAATAACAGTAACTTCCTAATCTTCCTCAAAAATTATATAGACTGAAAATGAGGTAAGGGAAGTCATGAAGTGGGCTGTGATTGTGGCATGGCAATTTGTTTGGCATTCTGTTTAATGACATTAACAGTGATTTTCTGTGATTCCTGTGAAGTGTTTCAAAGTGTGTTCGTCTAAGAGAAAATATATTTCAAAGGCTGAAATTATGTTGAAGATATGCTAGAATATTGAGCTAGTTTTAGAGGCTCTGAGGCAGCAGGCCCCTGAGTGATGTGCAGTGTTGCTGTTTGCAGTCAGGTGCCCCTGTTCGTGCAGATCCACCACAAGTGGCGCCGCATGTACGCGGGGGAGTGCCAGGGCCCGGGCGTGCGCACGGACTTCGAGATGGTTCATCTGCGCAAGGTGCCCGGCCAGTACACCCACCTGGCAGGGCTGCTGGACATCTTCAAAACCAAGATTGTGAGTGTAGACTGATGCTATGTGTGATTTATGTTCAACCCCTAGGGTGTTTGAGAGGATTTACTCTTTACGTTGGATTTGTTCTCTGCTGTTTTGAAGGGCTGCCCTTTAACACCTCTGCCTCCAGTTAGCATGGCCATTCGCCTTACCTTTGTGCTCCAGGACTGGCAGCAGTACTTCTGGCCACAGCAGCCACCAGGTAGGAGACTTGTGTCCTCACAATAACTCCTTTTCAGACAGCCAAACAATGCTAAAGAAAATATTTGTGAATCTTGCCAGAAGAATTCTAACATTTTCTACTTTGCTAGGAAAAGCTTCTGTCCAATTCCACCCTGTGTGATAAGCAAGCCAGCTTAAAGCTGCTCTCAGGTTGTAGCTCATGGCTGGGACAGGTGTTTTGGGTAGGGCTGTGCCTCGAAATATGGGTTAGTCAGCATTTAGAAATACAATGATATTTCTAAAATGGTGGTATCTATGTAGAATGAAAAGGGTGAATGAATCTGTGAAGAATTCTGCCCTGGATTTCTTAGGTAAATGTTTAGATTCATATTCTAGAAGATGCTAATACTTTGTGGGAGTTCTTGTCAATTGTTTCCATAAAGTACATTACTTTGGTAGGTCACTATCTAAGTGTATTAACAGTGGGAAAAGCAGAAAATACTGTATGGACCTCACTTGAGGTAAAGGTATGGATTTTTATTATTGTTGACACAGTACTAAATTTAATGCGGGAGGAATTTCTGAACAAGCCTTTTGTTATAAGTAGCCTTGCATGAAGGGGAGAAATAATGTATAGTCTTAAATTTAAAGTATATAGAGCAGACTTGATAAGTTTATGCCATAGTGATGCTGTTTAGGGAAACCAGAGGTAGTAACTCATTTGGTAGTCTCAAAATGGTCTCTTTTATTCTTGATGGTGGTGCTGTCTTCCTTGAGTACCAAGGATTTGGTTTTAACAGACTTATTTTTATATAGGTAGTAGCAGAAAATAAATTATAAACTTCTCAAAGGTAAACAAACCCATAGGAAAAAGGTAGATATTAGTTCCTCCTTAACATCCATTTGATTAATGATGTGATGTTTTAGGTACAGAGTGGTGGAACAGTTTAAGTGCCCAAGTTCTTTCTTGACCTGGTAGCAGTTTTACATAACAAGCTTGAGGTATTTAGGGTACATTTGGAGAGACAGAACTCATGTGGCCTTGGTTATCTAATTGTTTGGCTTTTCTTTGCTTAAAAAGTACTCTAATCAAAATCTTATGTTTTGAAGAAGTGTGCAGTGAGGTTGATTCTGTGCTCTGTAGTTAAGGAATGCATGTTGAACATATGTTTAAAGAGAGTTCTGCTTATTAGAGAGAAAATCAGTGCTGTTTTAAATGATAGTTCCTCTTTGGTTAACCAAGTTTACCTAAAGAACTTGGGAAATGAATTCCACAGATTTTATCTTTTTATTGTTTCTGCAGACACAAAATCTATTTTCTGTAGTGTCTGTGCCTTGCTGTAGTTATTCACTAAGTCAGGATCTCAGGTTTGTCATGGATGAGTTGTAGCACTCTGATCATATTTCTTGATTGTTACTTCCACTCCTTTAGCAGCAGAGTTGTGGTTAAGGGTGTCCAAGTGTGTTGCAGAAACTGGAGATGAACAGCATCAGTTTTACTGCTCTTGCTATGTGCAGTTGTGGTTTATGTTCACTGGGAAGATTATATACCATCACTCAATTAGCTCTTCTCAAATAAAACCAAAGAATTTAAATGTCTTTTATCTCCTCTGCAGAAGAAATTATGTAATTAAGTTATCCAGATACTTCATCTGCTAATCCCTCACTTGTTTTGTTTGTAAACAGTTTGCCAGATGCAGTTAAAATTGCAGATCAGATGCTGTAACAGCATTATTATAATGGCATTACAATACATTATTATTATTGCCCACTTTAATTTTTGTTCAGTGGAGGCTGTCTGGTTTTGATTTATGTATTTGAAGGATGTAACATGGGAAGTGCCTGAGGGTGCTGGGAGGCATCTCTGAGTACCTGGGACTACAGGGAATCCATACCCAAGATTATTTGAATAAGTCCTCTTTTGATAAAATTGTCACCTTTTAAAAGTAGTTGTTTTTTCACTCTGCAGTTGCTCTTCCAGTCTTCCTTCTCTGCTTGGAACTGATTTCCTGCCCAAGCATTTTTATGGCACTTTTGTGTCTGTTCTTGTGCCAACATTGAATCTTCAGGGCTGTCTTTTTATCTATCATCACTGCCTGTATGAAGGGAATAACCTCCCCTCAACATGAATGACAAGAATTGTATCTGTCCCTTTGAATGTCCTGTTTCAGTTTCTGGTGGAAGCAATTCCTTTGACTGTGTGTTAGGATTGTGTTCTCCTAGCTCAGCTCTTCTCTGGTCATCCTACAAGTTACAGTCTTTGCAGTGAAATAAGGGGATATGCTGCTTCAAATGTTCCACAAATTCTTTATGGAAAATGTGTTGATTTTTCTCCAGATATAGATGCTCTAGTTGGGGGAGAAGTTGGAGGACTGGAATTTGGGAAGTTACCATTTGGTGCCTGTGAAGATCCTATTAGGTAAGAGAAGAGTTCAGAAAACTGTTTTATAACTTCCTTAATGGAGGACTTACAGGTGTTACTTCAAATCTTAGCTTTGCCTGCCTACCACTTCGTATATCCAACAGATACTTAATTATTCAAGTGCATCAGAAACATCTGTGAAGGGTGGTGGTTTAATAGCAAATAAGGCCATTTGTAAAATTGCCTGATGATATTCAGAGTTCAAGCTCATATGGCTTTTACAATAAACTTCTGCAGTACCCCATTTATCTCTGAAATTATTGAAATATACCTCAAGATAAACCTTAACAATTTTGTGCAAGGGTTGGACTTGCTCTCATGTATGCAGTGAGAAAACTTACTGGACAACAAAGAGGGAATCAGATATGATCTGTCACAAATACCTTTCAAAACATGAACTGTGGTGAAGGGAAAACTTTCTGCTATCACTGAAAGGCTGAAATCTTGTTTTGTTTCAGTGAGCTGCATTTAGCTACAACATGGCCTCACCTTGCAGAAGGGATAATTGTTGACAACGATGTTTATTCGTAAGTATCTTGTCTGAGTTGAAAATGAGTGTGCTTTTTTGCTCACTGCTGCATCTTAGCGTCATCTCAAACACTGTGTGGCTTCACATGTGAAAAAGAACCCATTTTGAGGAATGCCAATGTCAGCTGATAGAACATCTAATCTGGGGAAACACATTTTGAAATGCATTTCTGTGAGAAAATATTACTGTGTTGTAATCTCAACAGAACACACACCCCTGGTTTTGAGCATATTCTCATGTTAGACTTGAAAATGTTGTGTATCACATATTTCTTGGAAAAGATGATAGTAGAGCATGAAAGGTAAAACCAATTCACTGCTTCATATCCCTCTCCCAAAACCTGTCATCCAGCTTTTCTGCTAAAGAGGAAGAAGGGTTTCTTGTTCATGTCATGCACACACCTGAGAATAGGGACTCTTGCTTGTCATGTTCTCCTGTGTAATGTGGTGACATGACATTTATTGAGAACTTGGTACTCATCTTTCTGATACTTATAGTGGCGTTTGGTTTCTTTTTTCTTTTTTTCTTTTTTTTCTCTTCTTTTTTCTTTTTCTTTTTTAATTTTTTTCCCCAAGTGACCTGGATCCACTTCAAGCACCCCAGTGGTCTGTGAGAGTTAGAAAAGCAGATAACCCTCAGTGTCTGTTGGGTAAGACATCAGAATTTCCTGTCTTCTCTTGCAGCTTTTAAACTAAAACTACCAAGTTGTGAAGTTAGGGTTGAGTTGGTGATTGCCTGATGACTTATTTGGTCACTTCCCTCATTTTTTTGAGTGAACAGTATTTTGGGTTTCTTTTTCAAGAACACAAGCTTTGCAAATACATAAGTTCCTGTTGTAGTTTATTCTGTGTATGGTGAAATTCATTGCTGTTCTTATTTCACCAGTTCCAGAGAATAAGAATTTCTCTATGTTCTGTGAAAATTTACATTTCCTAGAATCTTCCCATTTTATTAAGTGTGTTTTGCATGTATCCATCTCCTTAGTTCAACCAACCTTTCTGACAGGGAGAATTAATATTCTGGAGAGCTGTACTCCTCTGTCTGTCCTTGCCTTTAAGCTTGTGGGGAAAAGGCTTCAAAACTTTGCAAGTTTCATGTTGTTTTGGGTGAATCAAACTGCAGGCAGAGCTGTGCTCTGGAGAGGTGGCCAAGAGATGTCTGGTGTGCATTTACCTAAACTTTAATTATGTGGGTTTTGTGCTTCAGATAATTTAATTATGTGGATTTCGTGCACCAGATATTTGTGCTTAGAACAAATTATCAGATGTTCTTTCAGAAGAAAAGATAAAAATTGCTGTCCTTGGGGCATATTTTAGAGTGTTGGCTCATTGCTCAGTGAGGTTTTTGGCTGAGTTCAGGAGCTTTGTTCCTCTACCAGGGGATTTCCTTACTGAGTTCTTCAAGCTTTGCCGGCGGAAGGAGTCAACGGATGAGATCCTTGGAAGGTCTGCATTTGATGAGGAAGGAAAAGGTAAAACTAAAATCCAGTTGATTTGTGTTACTTGTATTTAATAGTTTTATGCTAGTTTGCCTTCCCTGTGCCTTTATTCTCACTGATATTTATAACTCTTACACATACTCCTGGGAATTTTCTGGCCAGGGCTTCATGGTGAAATTTCTCATGAATTCTAGACAAGTTCAGCTCCCAGAGCCCCAGAGGGACAACTGCCTCTGTTAATGTTGTGTCTGTTTCTTTTTACAAGAATAGAAAAGTTTAAAATTTGACTAGAATGTACAAGAGTTGGTTATAGGACACATCAGATTTGTCTGTATAGTTTTATGTATTTTTGCTTTTTCCACTTCTTTCTCCTTTTTGTTGTACTCTGTAGTACACGTCAACAGCCAGTTTAAAGAGTCTTTAATCTGTGTGAAAGGCTTTGCTCTCATCCTCTCCATTTTAAGGACTTTAAGGAAAAAAGAAAATTAAAACTTCCCAAATTATCTGACCAGCAAGTTGGGCTTTATCCCAACTGTGTAAATACTGCCATCTTTCTGATGTCTCTGTCCCTCTCTTTGGCTTTTCTTGCTGTATATAGTGAAAATTCCCTTCCTGCTATTTGTCACCTGTTCTTCCCTCCAAATATGTATTTTCCTTGGCTATACTTGATCTTGGTTTTGAAGAAGGAGCTTGCTAGTGAGCTTAAAAAGGTGTTAGACTGAGGAGGGTGTGTATTACTCAGTGCTTGGCATACAGTTCCTTCAGCCCTTCTTAACTCTGGGATTGCCAAGATGGGCTTTTGCAGGCTGCTCCTAATTATTTACTTAAATTTGTCAGCTCTCCTTATAACATTATTAATTGAGTTTATTGTAAGAGACATTCTAGAGTTTACCAGCAGCAGGTCTGAAAAAACCCCAGTCTTTTGATTTGAGAAGTTTACCTGAGCACTCTAAAACAGAACTGTGCTTTCACTATGTGAGGCCAGTGATTAACACAGGATTTATTTAATATTTATCTAAAGTTTTAGCAAATGCTGGAGCAGTCTTTGTTACCTGCAGTGTGTTTATTGGTATGTTGTATAAACAAGGTTTAAATACTGAGTCTTTGGGATACTCTGTTGGTAACTCTGCAGGAGCAGTGCTGCTACAGCAGGCACTACCTGCAGCCAGCTCAGTCTGGACTTCATTTGGTGAATTACATCAAGGACAGTCTGTGACTCATTTGTGACCTCCTTCTGCTGCCTGTCTTAGCTAAGAACAGTGAGTGTCAGCCTGAAACCTGGCAGCAGAGGTGTAGCTCTGCTTCACAAGGGGCTAAATATCAATACAAGATAAACAGGCTGATTAAGACCGGTGAACTCTTGAAGAGACTTGTTCTAGTGTTTGGGGGTTTACTTTATTTTGTTCTAATTGTTTTTATTTTATTTGCTAGAGGTTGCTGATATCACCCACGCACTGTCAAAGCTCACAGAGCCAGCACCAGTCCCAATCCCCAAATTATCAGTCACAAACATGGTTCACAGTGCCAAGAAGAAGATCCGCAAGCACAGAGGTGTGGATGAGTCTCCTCTGAACAATGAGGTGCTCAACACCATTCTCCTGGTGAGTGAGCTGTCCCTGCACATGGATTCAGATATCTTTAAACCTGTGGCAGGTTTAAAGATATCTGATCTCAGTTCCAGTGCTTGAATTGCATTTATCAGCTTCTGGGAACAGCCCAAGTTGTTACAAGTCTGTGTAGTCTGGACTAAACCTGATCTCTGAACTCTGCTACCAATTTTAATTATAGGGATTGCTGGTATAAAGCCAGCAGTAACTTTATGGAGAAAATGGAAAAGGCAGGCAAACCATACTGATGGAAGGTTTAATTTTTTTTTTTTCTTCAAGTTCTTATTTCCTGATGCTGCTGACAAACTTGCAGATGTATTTGAAAACAGAGCCAGCACTTCAGCAGGAAACAATCCTCCTCCCGAGAATGAAGATTATGTAAGTTTTGAGTGACACAAGAGAGGAAGGAATTTTGAGTGTGTTTATATAGACTTTGCAGTGCTTGCCCTATATCTTGTAATACTTAGCTTTTGGAAAGATTTATTTACCTTTGTGGAATCTCTGGGTAGAAATAGTGATGATTTCTGTTTCCTTGGAATTCCTTTATTTTCCAAAGACTGTAGTTTTTAGTATCTTCTAGCCACTTATATTGACAAACAGAAAAGAGCTCACATGGTTTTGGAAAACAGTGCCATTGTTTCTGTATTTCTTCCTTTCTTTTATTTCTTCCCTAGAATCTCTTCAGCCAGTTTAAGTCTGCTCCATCTGACAGTCTGACATACAAATTAGCTTTATGTCTTTGTATGATAAACTTCTACCATGGAGGACTCAAAGGAGTGGCACATCTTTGGCAGGAGTTTGTGCTGGAAATGCGTTACAGATGGGAGAACAACTACCTTATTCCAGGGTGAGATTGTTGTTGTTGCTCCTTGGTCATGGAAAATGTTCTTTGTTCCAGGAGCTGAGTGGGGTCACTGTGACTTTGAAACACACAGTTTTGGGGTTTTTTCAATTGCAAATGCTATCTCTGGTTTTATTACTTTACTTCCTTAATGCAAGAAAGGGCAGGGAGTAAGGACCAGCATCTGTGCCCTCCTTTGAAAACTTCAAGATGCCTGGGGAAGCTCAGCTTAGACATTCACTCTACTGTGTGAATGAGGGTGGGGAAAATAACTTACTGTGGTGTAGTTTCACCTCTCTTCTAAGGGAGCTGTTCCAAGGTGCTGCTGGTGCAATGGCCTTTTCAGGTATTCCAGCCCTTCCAGGTTCTGTCTGCTGCAGCAGAGCTTGGGACACACCAAACCAGGGGCTCTCTCAAGATGAGGCAGAGCAATAACATACCCTGCACTTAGGGTTGTGGTATTTTGGTTGGGGTTTGGGGTTTTTTGTTGATGAGACAGGCTGGCACATCAAAAATTTAATGTACTACATTTGTACTTTGAAATGGTTACACTAGCAGATAAAATAGAAGCTGAAATGTATAGCAATGACTGCACTGTATCATTGCAGTTTTAAAAGTACAGTTAAGGATGCTTAATTCCTGTTTGAAAGCAGTTACCTTTTCAACTTCCAATTGGAAAACTGACCAGGAATGCAGAGTGTTTCACACTAGTGTGAGTGAGCTCTGAGCTCCTGAAATGACCTCTGGGAAATACATGTAATTTAAATTCTGGGCTTGTCTGCTGAGACAATAGAAAAGCTGTGTAGTTGAAATGGTGGGAGTGGGTTCAATATGGGTGTTTGTCCCTGTTCTAGATTTCATGTGATTTAAGACCACATGTCTGTGAAAGATTCAACTTTATAATTGATAATGGTTGCACTTCTGCCTTTTGTTAGATTAGCTAATGGCGCTCCAGATCTCAGATGTTGTTTACTGCATCAGAAACTGCAGGTAAATATCCCAAATTTAAGAATGATTTTTCTCCTAAGGAAACTGTCAAAATTACAGCAATGATTAGCTAAATATGTTGTTTTGTTGATTTAGTTGTGCTTGTGGTTTTTGTGTGTGGAATTTATTTCTTGAGGAAAATTTTGTTACAGCAACAAGTTCAGTGGAATTGTTATTGTTCAGAATTTTAAGACCTTTTCAGTGGCTGTAACAGGTTTTTCTGTATGATTGTCTCCATAAGGGAAATAATTGCTGAACAATTTTTTTTTTTGTTCCTTTAACTTGTTAAATTAGATGCTAAATTGTTGCATTGAAAGGAAGAAAGCAAGAGATGAGGGGAAAAGGGGGAGCACGTCTGATCGTTCACCTGGTGGTGCTTCTGGTGATGGTGCCAAAGGAGGAGACCACTCTGGAGAGAACCCTGACAAGGAAAAAGAATTTGGCAAGTCTTGGGAATCGTGGAGTGACAGTGAAGAGGAGTTTTTTGAATGTCTTAGTGACACAGAAGATCTTAAAGGAAATGGACAGGAAAATGGCAAGAAAGGAGCAAAAGAGTCTGTAAACTTAAAACCAGAAGGTCGTTTGCACCCACATGGAAAACTGATGCTGCTGCATCCAGGAGAGCCTCTCTATGTTCCCATAACACAGGTGAGGGAGCAGGAGCTGAGAACACACAGAAGGTGCCTCATACCTGGGATTGTGAAACTGCAGCAGTTTGCAGGTTACAGCCTTGTCTGTTGTTAAAATTGCTGAGGGTTTGCTGAGTTTTTGACCTAATACCTTGTTTTCAATCAAAACTGAATGAGGCTGCCAATCTCACACATTCTTTGTTTTATTTGAGAGTGTGTCCATACCAAATTTCATTCCAAACAATATATTTAAACAAGAATTAAACTTCCTTTCCTACCTTAAATTCTTGGTTCTTTTTATTTTCAGTTCTTGAGGCATCTTCCATCCCCTCCTTACTTTCTTTCCTATAAAATAGGAGCTGCTGTGGTCCTTGCACCATGGAGATATCTGCCTCACTTTGCACAGTACTGGATCAGTTTTGCTGCTGTTTTTGGTTTTTTCACAGTTTTTCTGCTCACATCTAAAAGGCCACAGTCATTAGGTTTGGTGCCATTCTCAGCAGGTTTATCATCAAACAACTAGAAATGTTACCTGACATCAACAAGCTTTCTTGCAGAGTGACCAGGGATGAAATAGGAATTGGTGCTGTCACAGAAAGTAGTTCAAAATCAGCCATGCATGAAGAATACTGTGGTTTTCATTCTCCTGAGAGAAATTACTTCTAATTAGTGTTGTTTTGCTTGGGTAAAACATACGAGCAGAGAGTAGTCAGGCAAAATGTTCTCAATAATTATGTGCTGACAGTATTGACAGCAAAAATTCTGCATTGCTTTGGGTAGATTTTCATCCATCTCAGCAAAATTGTACCAGTCAAACAATTTCTGGATTTCATTAGGATTTTGGCATTTTAGCAATATATCCTTATATTGTCACCTTATTTCCAGGTAATTCTCTGTGTAGTTTCTTTGTTAGTGTCCTCTTCAGATGCACAACTTGAGGCTGAACTGTGTAGGCAGTGGAAAGTTGGGATCATTTCCTCAGAGTACAAAGGAAGCAGAGTGAACTAGGGGTGAGAAGGAGCTTCCTGCTCCTCCTCCCTTGCCCTTAGTGCCTGCAGGAGGGGCTGTCAGTAACGCTGAGTGTTCCCTGTCACAGGAGCCAGCCCCCATGACCGAGGACCTGCTGGAGGAGCAGTCGGAGGTGCTGGCCAAGCTGGGGACATCAGCGGAGGGCGCTCACCTGCGGGCGCGCATGCAGAGCGCCTGCCTGCTCTCCGACATGGAGTCCTTCAAGGTAGCACTGCTGGCACATTGCACTGCCTGCTTCTTCATTCAGCTGGCCCTCTTGCTTCTGTTGGACAGTTCTGAAGATTTCTAAGGTTTTTTTTCTCCACAATACAGTTTCCAGTTAGTTTCAAGTTGAAAATAAAAACCTGTTGGGAAAACTCTTGGCACACTTCAAAAATCTATGAGGATGTGATCTGTTACACTGTAACGTCCCAGTAAACCTACAAAATGTCTGTGGGAAGGGAAAAAACACATCAAACATACAATTAATCAGTTGTGAATTAAAACAGACATTCATCAGGTTGGGACTGGACTAACTGTGGCTTTGGGTTTCATTTCCCTCTGAGCTCTGCAGAGGGAGCTAAGAGCACATCCACTGCTGTCAGCACAGGAGCTCAACACTAAAAAGACTGGAGAGTCTGTAATGAAATAGCCATATATATCTTTTTAATTATTGCAGTCTTTATGGTAAAAGGATATAATGTGCTGTACAGTTAGAGTATTTATAGTATAACAGTAATCACTTTATTAACAGGGACTCATGGCATATTAAATATATATGGTGTAAGTAATCTAAAATCTCAAAGTAAAAATAGGGAACTATAATTGGAAGTACAAGTACACTCTTCATAGATACATCAAATAGAAAACTGGGATTCCTTTTATGTTCTGGACCTGTAGATGTAGTTAATTGTGGTCATATTGCATCTATGAAAAATGAGTGTTTTTTTGTTTGGGGAAGATACTTCTTTAAAGTTCCTTTTCAATAGAAGAAGAAATGGTGAATTTTGTCACTAGAGGGTTAAAAGATGGAAAGTCAGTGCTTAAAGCATACTTAGGTGGCCCACTGATTCTTTTAGTCCTTAATGGGATAAGCTTAGTGAAAATTCCTATTTATTGCATGTGGCAGGTGCCAGGTAGAATTTTAACAGTATAATTTTGAGCTTGCCTGAAATAACTGATAAATGTAATGAATGAACATGTAGTGGGTGATGAGAAGGTGATTTTTTTGTTGTTGCTGCTGATGGGGGATTTTACCCCTTGCCATTGTCTTGGTTTATGATTTATTCCCTCTATCCTGCTGTACAGTTTGTTGGCTGTGGACAAAAGAATTTCCTGAGTTTTGTCTCTTACTCTGTGCTCTACCCACTAAACCATATTGCCCTCCTACCCATGCTGTCATGTTTTTGTAGGATTTTTCAGGAACAAATTTTCTGTCCTCTCCTCCCTGCAGGCAGCTAACCCTGGCTGTTGCCTGGAGGACTTTGTGAGGTGGTACTCACCCCGGGACTACATCGAGGAGGAGGTGATCGATGAGAAGGGGAACAAAGTCATCAGGGGCGAGCTGAGCGCCCGCATGAAGATCCCCAGCAACATGTGGGTGGAGGCCTGGGAGACAGCAAAGCCAGTCCCAGCACGGAGGCAGAAGAGGCTTTTTGATGACACCAGGGAGGCTGAGAAGGTGAAAGCTCTGGGGCTGGTGCCAGCCTGGGCTCCCTGCAGCCCTTCCCTCCCTCCCTGCAGCATTGAAACACCGACAGGCCCTTGCACTGTGTCCTTGGAGTTACTGAACTGTTTAGTGCATGGCTTAGGGTTGATTGGAAATTCCTGCTGCTGTACAGGAGGGTGTTTGATGTATCTAAAAGTATGCAGTGTTACTTAGGTATTTCTTTAAATTATTAGTAAATAAACCAGATTTTTAACTGCATATACACTAGGAACATTTTAGTTTCCTAATGCAGTTATTTTTAGTTGCATTCCAACCTGTTGGGCAGATTCATGTAAAACTGCCTCTCGGGTCTTAAAGTGGCGTTCCATTCTTGTGAATTCATCTTTCCATGGTAACCTTATCTTTGGGAAGTAGTTTTGATCACTAAAATATTAAATTTTCTAATGTTGCAGGTACTTCATTACCTTGCAGTTCAGAAACCAGCTGACCTTGCAAGGCATCTCCTGCCTTGCATCATCCATGCAGCTGTACTCAAGGTAAAGGAGGAAGGTAAATAATGTTTAATAAATTATTAAGATATTTAAGGGGAACAGTGGTGCAGTCAGTAATTACAACTTTGTTTCTTTCCTTATAATAGAAGCAGTAGAAGATATATCTTCAGTTAAGAAGATTATCAAGCAGATAATATCCCATTCCAGCAAAGTGCTACGGTTTCCCAGTCCAGAGGACAAGAAGTTGGAAGTAAGGCTTTTGTACTGGCTGGGGCTGAAAACCTGATTGACTTTTGCACTGTTCATGGCAGTGTTAAAGGAACATCTTTTTAATTTTCCCTTTTATTAAACTCTTGCAGGAAATCATTGCTCAGATTATGAGTGTGGAAGCCATCATTGCCAGGGCAAGGTCTCTCAAAGCAAAATTTGGGGTAGAGAAATGTGAAAATGAAGAGGAGAAAGAAGATCTACAAAGGTGACTTTTTTTAATTCTTATTTTTCACTGTGTTGTTTTGCTTTTCCTCTGATGCCCTTGTTTGTACTTTCAAACCTTAGGACAATGGTGACAATAAAGAAATATTTAGGAATCATATTTGGGTATCCCTGTCACTAGACTGTCTAGAGATGATGTGCGTGGGTACCTCAGTGCTCCTCCAACTAAGCATCTTTTGGAGACATTTGATCTAGGTTTTTTAAATAGAATTTGGTTCTATCTTGACAGTACTGGGGACTAACTTTTTTTTTGTGTGTATAAAAGATACATTTGGTGAACTCTGTTACCTTACCTAAAATTAGGACTAGAAATTTACTCTTTTTTATAAATGTTATGGAATGAAATAGTCTCTTCCACAATTGTTTTCTTATTCTTGTCTCCCTGCTGATGTGAAACATCACTGGGCAGCTCTGAATGGGAAGTGACAAGGAATGTTCCCTTGCATCACTACCTGCTGTCAGGTTATTTACTTGCTGCTCAAGATGAGTAATGTTATAAAACCCAAGTTAACTTCTTGCTGCTGTGCTGGGAGGGAGAGATGACATTTGTGCAGTACATGTTGGGAGTTCAGAGATGTGGTGCCTGACCCAAGCAATGTCTGTGTGCTAAAGAAAATTGTAACATTGTGGATACTTCTGCATGGCCAATACCATGGAGGCTTTCCTGTTGATTTTATACATCTGCTTTAGGAGCCTGGGCTTCATTCTTAGGTAACTGAGAGGAGAATTTTTTCCTTAAACTTTTAGAATAGAGAAGCAAGAGAATCTGCCAGTTTTCACCCTGAGCAAATGATGCTTGGTGAAGGCCTTGGGACAGCTTGTTTAGGTCAGCACACTGGATCTGGCCAAGGATTAACCATTCATTTTTCTTTTTCAATCATTTGTTCCATCAGATTTGTAAACAGTCTCCTGGAGCAGCCAGAAGTGTCAGTGGTTGGTGCAGGAAGAGGACCTGCTGGCAGCATCATTCACAAGCTGTTTGTGAATGCTCAGAGGGTAAGAGAGAGCTCTGGGTGGTGCTGCAGCCACTTCTGATTTAACCAGAATGAGCCAATGAGTTACCACATGGTGCCAGTGTATTCTGTCTGCATTTCTGCATGTACTGTCATGTATGTGCTCGAGGTGTTTCTGTGATGTTCTACATGATTTTGGCAGTAACAGAACCTTGCAGGACCAAAGGAGAGTGAGTGAGCTGGGATGTTTAACAGTTGAAGCCAGCTGGATAGATAGAGGTGTCAGTAATGCTTTATGTACTGCAAACAGTATCATCAGTAATGCTATTAAAGCCAAATTTCTGCCTTATCACAGCAAGGTCAAGTGTTGATTGTTTCACAGAGGAATGTAGAGAAACAGGTCATAATATTACATATTTTAGAAGCAGTAACTTCTAAACTGAGGCTTATGTTTGGAATACTTGAGATTTTTTCTGTGGTAACTAGCATGCTTAGGAAGTTTCAGTTCTTTTTCAGTTTCTGCATTCAGTTTACCAGTGTTGCATCTGTTTTCTGGAGACACTTCCCTTGCTGATATTGATAAAAATCTTGCTTTTCTCTCTTAAGCAGTCTTTGGAATAATTAGTCTGAAAGTATTGATTTCCAAATGTCAGGGACTGCAGTCAGCCTTCAGTTTCTGTCAGAATTACACCTGTTTATAGCATCAGATTTTCTAACTCAAATTTAACTGCAGTGGTAATAACAAGGTAGCAGCCTGAAATCCCACTTGGAAATAATTGCTGGAAAAATGTTGTGATTGGGTGTTAAACACTTTAAAGGGATCAATGCTTTTGTAATAATCTCTATTTTGCAACTCAGCATAAAAAGGACCATTCTGAAAACAGACCATGGTTATTCTGAGGAATGAAAATCAGGACACTTCTTTTATTCTTCCAGTCTCTAGGGAAATTGTGTTTGCAAACCTGAATCTGCTAGCCAGCCACCTTTACCCTTCAAAGCCCAAGATCTGTGCCCTGTAAGTGATGCACACATATGCACTTGCCTCTTCAAGAGAGGCAGTGGGTTTTCAAATCTAAGTTTGTACCCTTAGGATGTGTGCAAATTTCAAGGGTTGTGTTTTGAAACACCACTTACTCAAGCAGGGTTACAGGTATTTCCCACTAGCAGCTGGTCAGTGTTAATTAAGGTTTCTTAGTGGGACAGGAACCAACTTGCAACGAACCCCATTTTGTGTTTAACCTGCCATGAGTTATTTCAGTAGAGAGCTGTTTGGTCGATAGAAGTGAAATTCCCTGTTCATTACCTTTTGAACCTGGACTCCTCTCTGAGCGGTGTATAATGTGTTCTGTTCTTGAGTTTTCTCAGGAAAATTCTGATAGCCAGTGCATGTTCTTGGAGTGCATGATGTCTCTTAAACCTACAGTCTCCTCCTAACCTCTTGTAAGTCACCTCTGACTTGCCTTTGTTTCTGTCTTTCATCACTGGTTCTTTTCTCATCCCTTTCCAAGCTGACTGAATCTTCTGATGAGGTAACCAACTTTGTCCCTCCTTTCCCTCTCATCCTCTCTGCATAGAGCTGAACCTTCTGGTGGATATAGTGCAGCAGCCAGATTTAGTTTGTACTGGTGTTCACAAGTTGAGTATAAAAGTAACTTTGTGTTTCCAGAATGGTTTTTCTGCATTCACACTTTATTTTCAGAGCCTAATAATGCATAGTGAAAAGAGAGAGAAATATTAAAAAAAAAAAGCCTTTCAAAAAACCAAACCAAACCAAAACCTTTATTCAAGTGAGTATTGGTGTTTTCTGATGCTGAAATATGTGAATAGGCCGTGCCTTTACATTCTTTGTTGTCATCACTGGTTTTTTGTTGATGTTTTGGGGGGAGGTGGTGATGAACAATAAGCTGGATGCTGCATTCCCAACACTAGTGCTTCCTGAAGGTGTGGAACTTTTTGGACACAGATATTTGGGAAAGAAGCAGGGTGACTGTGTGAAGTGTAGCACAGGGAAGATCCTCTCTGTTGGCTTCCCCAAGCTGTTCCTGTGGGAACACGTGGCACTTGTCCCTGGTGGGTTCTGTGGCACAGCCTGTAGGGGCTGGTCCCTCCACTCCTGGGAGCAGAGGGACAGCAGCACAAGGGGCAGCCAGTGGCTTCTGCCACACCTCAGGGATGGTGCTAGTGTAGAGTTGTACGTGCTTGAAGTAGGAAGGACCCTATTAGGGTATTGGTATGTGTGTATCCATAGGAATATGTAATCAGGGAATGTTTATTGGGCATGCCAGCCCTTCTTCCAGTTTTTGGGTGTTAGTGTTGCTGCTGCCTGGCTCTGAGGCAATGAATTCCTCCTCCAATTGGGATTGTGCAGCAGAGGGATTTCAGCAAGGCTCTCTGGCCATGAAAAGCCCATCCTGCAGTAGTACTGGAGAGTGAAAGGCAGGTGACTGTCAGGACTGCAGTAGTGGCACTGATGGTTTTGAAGTGGAGGCTGCCTTGGCCTCCTGTAGCTGCAGGGAGCTGAGGAGAGCCCCCTGTGTGAGGAGGGGCCATTTCCTCCAGTCACAAGCCTTGCTTCACACTGCCCCATCAGAACTTCAGCTGGGCAGAGCTTCCCCATCCACACGAGGGTTCTTCCATCTGGTTACGTTGGCTTTATTTCCTAGCATCCCATTAGCGCTTTGCTCTGTGTACACATGAAGCCTCTAGCCGCGTTCCCATTCCTGCTCTTCTCTGAGAGCAGCTGTGTGAACCGGCGTTAGGCAGCAGGCTGCCCTGTCGCTGTGCTCTGCCGCAGGTGCCCGCGCCGCCGGAGGAGGAGCTGCGGCGCTCGGGCTGTCCGGAGGAGCGCAGGCAGGGCGCGCAGTCGGAGTTTCCCCCGCCCGCGGGCCGGGAGGTGATCCTGCGCGCCTCGGTGCCCCGGCCCGCGCCCTACTCCAAGGCGCTGCCGCAGCGCATGTACAGCGTGCTGACCCGCGAGGATTTCCGCCTGGCGGGCGCCTTCTCGGCCGACACCACCTTCTTCTGACGCGGCCGGGCCGCACTCGCTGCTGCGGCCGCGGAGCTGCCCGGGACCGCAGCGCTGCTCCCGAGGACTTGGATCGGCTGCCACAGCTCAGCTCCGAGGTCTGGAATGGCCGCAGGAGTGGTTTCAAACTCTCTGTCCCACGGGAGCATCTCTTCCTTTCCTTGCATTAGCTTAATTATGGACCTGAATGGGCTGTGTGCAAATATTCATGTTGAAATTGATGCAGAATGTGCTGCTTTACACTTCAGGATCAGACTTTATCAAGTGACGTTAGTCTTCTTAAATTGATATGTATAAAAACATTAAGTAATTTATATTTATTACTAATCATAATCACAGAGCCCAGTATTTTTTGGTTAATCACTGTTTCAAGTGCTTCTGAAATATCCTTATTTTTATTTAAAGTGTACAGTTCATACTCTGCTTTGTGCTGAAGTCTCCTGGTTGTCCAGATCTCGTCACTTCTCCCAGAAGACAGAACTAAGCGGACAGTGAGTCTGACTGACAGCCTGCAGTGCATCACTGAGGTGTGGGATACTCTGTATCCTTCCCTTGGTGCAAGGGCCAAAGCTGGATGGCAATGACACCCCAGAGGTGTTTCACTGTGAGCAACTCACTGGTGTTTACCCAGGCTATTTGTCTGCACTCCCTGTCATCCATGGGACAGGAGGGGACAGCTCTGTCACCTCTGGCCCCTACCCCACTGTGCCAATGTTGCTTTACAGTGACCTTCATCTGTTTGAATGAGAATCAGCAGATCAGCATTACTTTACAGATGTACAAACAGCTACAGTATTGTGGACGTTACTCAATAAATATGAACGTGCTGTTGGCTCTCAGTATTCCCATGCTTTTCCATGCCCTCCTTGCATGCTCTGATCCAGGAGGGACACTGTGACTACAATGACTACAGAGAGTTGAGTTCTGGTAGCAGCAGGATCCCAGGTGTTACTCTAAAACTTCTTTGAGGGGACAGGGATCAGTGTCTTTTTTCCTCACATAAAGTTCTATGAAGTAGAAATACATTTTTCAGGATGAAGAAGAGTTAATAAGGTAAAATCTTGTCACAGACCTTGTTTTCCAGGCTGTTTGTGTGCTTCCTCACACATCAGGGTAAGTATGATAAAGACCTGTAGCTGTTCTTTAACTGTGTGGCTTCTTTAAAATTAACTACACCAAACAATTCCTGATTTACAGGTAAGTAAAATTTAGCTTAAGCTTTTTCCCCAATACTTCTGGTTTCCTCCTCTCTAATGAAACATTATACTGCGGTGTGGCATCTTGCAAAGGCTGCAGAAACTTGAAAGTCTCTTATACTTGGTGATCAGGCTATTCCTACCTGGTCCTTTAAAGTGCTGGAGAGGTGATTCCTTTATCATACTGAGACACCACAAACATCATGCAACTAACTTGTCTTAAACAGTCTTTGTCTCTGTTCAAGAGTTGTAACTTTAAAGATTTTTCTCAGAAGGAAAACTCAGCTTATTTTAAATAGCTGTGGTTGAAATTTCAGGCCTGCACTGTTTTGTGCACAGCTCTGCTTTATGAGCTTACAGCTCAGCAGTTGGGGGGGAGGAGAGACAGAGCATTAAAAAAATCATCAGGAGAAAGAACTGTATGTATTTAAAGTAACTGTAAAGCAAGCCAGGTAAGCAGTCCAAAATTACCAGTATCTCTGAAATCTCATTAAGGAGAATTTGACTGTAGCATTTCCCAGAAACGACCTTTGATGAGATAATTGCTAATATTAATGTTTCCTATCCTGAGTAACATTTCTATTCAAGTTGGTTTAAATAAAACTAGAATTCAACTGACATCAATTCTAAATGCCAAAATCCTGTAAGTCAGGCCCATGCCAGGAGTTAGCCTTCTGTGGGTGAGCAGCACTAGAGGAAACAAATCACTTGTGCTAGTTTTTGTCATCAGCACTGTATTTTATTCTGTGGTTTTGGTATGTGAGTAACAAAAAGAATTAAAGCTAAGACATCTTCTAGGTCCATGAAGTTCCCAATACAATTGAACCCAGTAATACCACCAGCAGGTTCAACAGAACTTCCTTAAATTCTTGCAGCCCTAACTACCTTGCAAGAGGAAACCATAATGCTCCAAAATAGCATTAAAGTTATACACAGAAATTCAGCTTTAAGCCAGGGCCATTAAAAAACATGATGATCAAGTACTTTAGATGTTACAGATAATTTCTTTGGTTTAATTCCTTATTTTCTTCTCTTTACCAATAGCATGATATCAGCAATTTCTGTTAAATCAGAGCAAGAGGAAAACACTAACTGTGTTGGTTTCACCATTACAATGTACCTGAATGTACTGTGCATTTTACTTCTTCACCAAAAATTTGGTGATATCACAGGCATACTTTGTAGCTAAAGACTTTCTCTTCAGCTGGCTTCTTTCCTTGGCCTGTTTTGCAGTTCTCTGCAAAAGAGAGAGACAGGTTCAGTGAGTATTGATACCTGGAAACACGTCCAGCAGAAAGCATTAGCTCACAGTTAAATTCCAGTCTTGTCTTTGCAGTAGACAGCATGATGAAATGCAAATGTTAATTATTATTTTCCCAAATCCAGAGGAAACTGTATATTGTAATAGTTTAATGCTGCATTTCCAGCTTGGTATATGGGAGGGAGAGGCTGTGAGCACTGGGGTTGTGCAGCAGGGCTGAGGAGGAGCCCAAGTGCAGTTTGCCCCTGCTGTTCCCTGTGAGAGGGCCAGCATTCCTGGCTGCACACACTGACCTCCCTGTGGCAGGCTGTGCACAGGGTCTGAAGGTTCTCCAGGGAGCACTGTCCTCCTCCGCTGTACACGGGCTGGATGTGATCCACCTGCCAGAACTGCCCCTCGGCCGGGCTCCTGATCATCTCATTCAGCTGCAGCACAAAAGGACATGCCAGGGGTGAGACACTCCTCAGCTACATGGACATGCTACTGTAGGAACAACGAAATTCTGGGAAGTAGCTAGCTCCAGTCTTCATCAGGATAAAGAAAGCCAGCCTTGGCATTTTTTAGTTACTCCCACTGGACAGGCAACAACTCTTAAGTAGCTGGCATGTTTTCAGCCAGCCCTGGCTGTACATGCTCCTCCCTACAGAACCAGAGCTCTGATGCCTTTTAGAGATGTTAGAAGACAACAGGATTTAGTTAATTTAATTGTTTTTAAGGACTTGATTTTCTTGTTCTGTTGTTGGTGCTAGGTTACCTTTCTATCTTAAATCTGTAAGAACATTTTTGGCTGTCTCTGAACTCTATACCCAGACCAGCTGTTCCTGCTGAAACCCCAGAACCATCACCTGCCCAAGGGGAAGGTGAGACATCCAAGAGCTCTCCAGAAGCTGCTTCCTCTGGCTCCTGGGTGCATCCCTGACGCTGAGGAAAAGCTCCTGGGCGTTGTTGTGGCAGGCCTGGCACACGCCGTGCTCGATGAGGAACACCTGGGAGCGCAGGTAGCTCTGGCTGGAGCGGATGCAGAAATCCTCCTGGCAGGCGTGGCAGCAGAAGCGCGTGTCCCAGGCCGGGCAGCCGCCAGGGGGCTCAGCTGTTGGCTGCTGGCAGCTCAGGCACAGCGGGGTCCCCTGCTCGTCCAGGGCCTGCAGATACCCTCGGGACAGGGAGGGGCCCCCGGCATCAGTCTGCCCTGCAGGGAGGGCTGAGGGAGCATTCCCAGGTTCTGGAACCCATCTGATGGCAGAGAACAAAGTACAGCTCTGGAGAAGTGATGTATTCAGCAGCGAGTTCATGGGGGGTTTATGCACTGTGTATTTCAATTGGGTATCTTTTATGTTCTGAAAAATCATTTTATCTGAAATAATACCTTGCTCAGATTGATACCTGCACAGTGCAAATCCTTTACTTGGTTTACATTTCTATTTAAACAAAATTTGGCAATATAACAAGGCAATTTTTCTTCTGCACATCTTACCACACTCAGTTATTAGTTGAAATAATGCTGTATTTATAAAGACAGGGTGATTTCTATCAGGCATGTACACATACAAACACATCCTGGTTTCTCTTTACAATCTCCATGGCTGCCTATGAATTTCCTACTCAAAGTAGGATACACAGTGCTTGTTTAAGAAAGTTTTTTAAAAGGGCAATTCCTGTTTGGAATTTTCACTTCGTTACCAATTTTTTTTAACTCTGAGACAAAATAGGAGCAAATTCGGTGTCCTCAATTTGATGTTGACCTCACAGGAGGGCTGAGCTAATATTCTTTTCTCTAACTGAATCCCATAACTATTCTCTTGTTTTATGTTAGTCAGACTCAGTTAATTAGCAGCTCTATCAGCAGACAACAGATGAAATCTAAATTGTTAGAAGAATAAAACAGAACTCATTAGCACTACAGCAAGTTTCTTATCTAACTACTGTACTTCAGCAAAGCACCCACTCATAGCAAATAATTTTACTACCATTATAAAAAAATGTGGCAAAAGAACTTAATCATGCTATTACATTAATAAACCTACTTTGTGGGTGGTTTAGGAGCAGCACATTTGTCCATTTCTTTGGAGATGAGGCGAACGCTGCCCCCACTGCTGCTGGCCTTGGAGAGCGAGGCTGCTGCCACATCCTCCCTGGTCACATACCTGAGAGAGTGACAAATCCTGTCAGCACAGGGAGCAGTCTCCCCTGAGGAACAGCACTGGGCTGCAGCAACATTGGTACAGCACATTCTCTTCAAACATTCCTCATTTTCTGGATGAGAAATGAAGTTTGGCAAAACGTGCTTTATATACTTCCATATTAAATACCTTTTTCTAAAAGTGAATTCTAAGCAGTGAACAGGTAATTTGCTTTGTGTATAACAATTAAAAAATGACTGCAATTTGATACTGCCTGCCAGTGAAACCTGAAAGGCATTTTGTTTCAGTTAGGTGATCTCTCAGTGACACTGGATAAGCTCTGCAGGACTCCTTGCTCCATTAGTTATGTTTGATCTCCCTGCTTTATTTTCATGTGAAACCCTGTAAAATACAACTGCTCCTAGTTAAAAACTTAAAATTGCTTCACAGAAACCACTATTCAGACAACTGAACATCTGCCAAATCCTACAAGGCTGCTGTAGATCCTGGTAGGTTTTCTAACACTACAGATTTATCCTGTACTTCATGGAAGGACACAATCAGACAAGATTTATTACCCTCTGCTTCTGATACTACTGGAATTACAAACTGTTTATTTGCTTCATTCTTACCTACAGCCAAAATAGTCACCCTGAGGAATTTAACAGTAGGGATTGAAGGGAATGAGAAGGTTTTAGATGGTTTGCATGACATGTTCTGTGCAGAGCAATGACAACACTGAAGCTACAAATGTCTGTCAAGGAAAACCACATCAGAGAAAGAAAGGAATCAAAGGTACATTTAGGTTTTCACAAGGATCCAACACCAGCCCTTTTCAGTGACACTCAGCATAGACAGCCACAGTTTTGACAAATGTCATCCACAGAGAACAGAACTGCTTAAAGAAAAAACAAGAACTGAAAGGGTTCAAGTTGGCTGTGAATTATGAATAAAACATTATCTCACTGATGGCAACTAATGATTTATGTCTGCTTCCAGATGGGGAGAAACAAGATGCTTTGACCTTACTTTTCTGTTGTAGTCCTGAGGTCGGGGTTTTTCCTTTAAAAACACCTGGCAAGTTCCAGATGCTGAAACATGCAGTGCAGCAGAGCCAGAGCAGCTGCTGAATGGGGCACAGAGCTGGGCAGGGAAGGAGACACTTCCAGCAGATTCACCAGCATGCCTGCCTGCCTGTCACTGTGACAAGCAATCACTGAATGTCCAGTTCAGACCTAGCAGCATTCCACTGAAGGCCACATTAAATTAACCAAACTTTCTGCAGTAACTAGTAGGAGGAATTAAAACCAAGCCCCACATACCTCTTTGTGCTGCTGCCCACTGACTGCTTTTTAGACAGCTCCTCTGCAGCATGAATGGGACTACAGAATATCTGACCACTTTTTCTGACAATCTTCTGTTTCATTGCTGTTAGATGAGTCCATTCTTTCACAAACCTCAGGATCTGGCAGAGAACATGACAGTCAGCAGCAGGACAGGCTTTGCCACAGATTAATGCATTCTAGCCTGGCTGGAAACAGCTCCTACAACCAGAGATGGTGCTTTCATGTAACTCTTCACACCCCCCATCTGTGGAACCCTTCAGTAGCTGCTTCACACAACAGCTGGTTCAATCTGTCAGGTAACCCCCCTACAAATTTAAATTCCAACCTTGCTGGAGAACCTACAGAAAGAATCAGTTTTATTCCTACATGATGGTTTTCTGTTTGGAAAATCAGATTTTAAGTTAAGCTGAAAATATTTCCCATCCAGTTTAAATCTGGATTTCCTTACATGAGTACTTGTGTTTGCAGTGTTCTTCTCAAACCCCATTATGAATGGGATCTTTATTCCTAAATTAACTGAATGTCTCTGGAGCTGTGCCTGACTGTTTGAAAACTGTTAGCAGACCAAAGGGACAGTGAGAGTGAAGGCCTGCTCAGGCCTGCAGCTCTGATACAATCTAGAACATTCTTATTTAGAGTGTGCTCCATTTAATTCTGAACCTTTAGGAAGTTATTTTGTTGACTTATGAAAGTTAGTAGCTAACCCTGTAAATGAGAAATGAAATGATACCTGGTTAATTCCTTCTACTGCAATGTGAACAGGAGGCACAATAATTTGCCAGAGTAACAGACTCCATAATTAATATTCACACCAACATCTGTAAGATTGATTTGATGAAACTGTGCCTATATCCCAAGGCTTGGCAGTATTCTGCATTTATTTTTGTAAAAGTAAGTAATCTTCTTCTGCATTAAATATTATATTGCTGTGCCAGTAGAACTTGTTCTTACCAATGCACGATTCTTTTTGTTCTGGAAAGCCTCTGGTAAATCTTCCCAGTTATCCAGCTGAATGTCCAGTGGAATGAAATTATGATTCAGTGGTTCACCATCCTAGACAAACAAACAGCTTTGTTTACAGATGCAATGTAGCACAATGTAGAGAAGTAATCTGTTGCAAGTGACTTCTCTTCCCTTCCTACTAAATTTAGTCCCTCAAGGTCAAATTTTTCCAGAATTAACAATAAGGCACAGAGATAACAGCAAAAATGCAAGGAAGATTATTCATATTAATCTACCTAAAAGTAACAAGGCTGAACATTTTAACTTCTAATAGATCTGATAGTTCAGACACACAAACTGCCTTATATTAAACTGAAATTAAAATCCTCTTGACTGAATTCTATGGGAAATGAATGATTGGAGATAGGAGAATGTCACTTCATTAAAATTTAAAATAAGAATTCTTGAACACTGTTTATCATACTTTTAAATGTCTGAAGAAGTTCTCCACTTGATTTATAAAGGAATAAGTTGTGCAGTGGGTACATCTAGCCAAGGAACTTATTGATGCCAAGGAACTTATTCACAAGCATTTGAGAGGAGAAGCAGAATTCCCTGGGGTCTCACCATTCAGCAGATTTTGTGCAGTATGTGGCACCATGAATCTCTAATTCCAGCAGAACCCAAAGCAGACAATTGCCCAAAACCCACCCCAAATGCATCTTTGTCTGAATACAACAAGTGAAGCTAGGCAGCAGCATACACTTTAAGTACATATAACAAATTTTCAGATACAAGAGGACTTTTGGACTCTTTTTGACTTTTCCAAGCTGCATCAGCCTCACAGAAATGTCTTATCTCAAAGGCTTGCCCTCAGTTATCTGTGCTGCTTCAGTGGCACCTGAATACACTGATTCACTCAGTGAATTGGAAGAAATCTTCCCACTGAACTTTCCTATCACTTGAAAGAAGAAATTGGCAAGTCCTGACCTCCTCTTGAATACTGACCTGGAAGATTCCCAGCTGCTGGTTTCTGTACCCAATTAATTAATAATAATGGGCTTTATTAAAGAAATTACTAACTTACACATAGCACCCATGCTGAGCTTTCTGAAGATTGGTGGCAATGTTTCATTTACTTAGTGTGTCAGGATTTACTGTCATTTTTAATTTTAATTTTGAATGCTATTCTATTCAAGTTATTTTGTGATAAGACACTAATAATAAAAAAGGAATTTTAAACAACTGTCACTGGAATTTCTATTCCAGATGATTTAACACATTAGCCCAATTCTGTAAAACAAGAGAAGTGTTGGGAGTTATGTATCTAAAGAATTATTGCTTAATTCCATTGAGAAAAAGAACTAGAATGATAAACTACCTAATTTTTGTACATTTCAGTTAATATAAAAATATTAATGCTTTTACAGCAAACATAACAAAGGAGAGCATAGAGAAACATTTCATAGAGCAACATTCTCCTCTGCAATTTTAAAATAACAATAACCATACATATTTCAGTTTTACCTTTGTATAGAGGTGGATTCTGTCAGTATTCCTGCTTGCACAGAACATAAGCCCATCATATACTTGGAATGTGTCTGATTTATCTACAACAGAAAAAATGTAGGCATTAAAGATTTTTATTCATTCATTCTACTCTGACATTAAAAATAATATTTAATATTTATCTAATTCCAGAACAATGTAAGGTGCAGAGCTCAAGCAGCAAGCTCTGAAGGTACTTGTGTATTTTATTCTTCTGTTTCTCTGGATGACCCATCATCTGTTTGCCTGTGCCTGTCCTGAGTTCCAGTACAACAACCATCCACATTCCCAGCTGCTGGTTTGTCACACTCCTGAAGTCAGCCAGCTCTGGTTTGCTCCAGGAGCTGTGTGGAAAGGCTGGGCTTATCCAGCATCCAAATTCAACAGATGGCCCAGGCCAGAATGAGAAAGTCCCATGCTGGTGTTTGTACTTCTGTGTTTCAGAGGTGTAGGTTTTTCTTTAAAAGACATTTTTCATGCCAGAGGCATTTAAACCAGTTTCACAATGGGATAGAACTGTTCTTTCAGAGTCCCACTTTACCTTCTCCACATTCTTTTTCACTTTCTTCCTTTTCAGGGCCAACAGTTTCCTGTTCTCTGATTTCCAGAGATTTGTGGGCCCCCAGTTCCTTCAGATTTCCTCTTCTGCCCTCAGCACTGCCCTCTGCTCTCTCTCCATCTCTCCTGGGCTCCTCTTCCTCAGTCTGGCTCCTGGGAGCTTCACCATTTCTCTCACCTAAAGACAAAGAAAGAAGCAAAGCTGTGATTTGTGTTACCTGGCAGGCACCTAATAACACACCTGAGACAGCAACACATCACTGAAATACAAAGAAATGGCACTGCATTCTCTAATATTATTATGGTGCAACCACTTAGGAAGTTAGAGTAACTTTAATGGTAGGAGAACAAACACATGGAACAGAGCTTTTAATTTATGTAATCCCAGCTTTTAATTTATGTGTGCCCAGATTAATGCAAAAAATATATATGAAATAAACAATGCAGTTAGCAATTCTATATTATATACAGTTACTGTACACCATAAACACACAAAGTAGTTTCCCAAGGCATTGATTTATAGCTGTGAAACTCAGAAGTTGTCCTTATTTGAACAAGCCCAGAGATTTAAACAAATAGAAAAGGAAGCAAAAAGAACTTTACCCGTGGCTTTGCAACTGAAATGACAAATATTGGCATTTATGTATAAAAATGCTTCATTAATTTTCCAGATAGCTTAAATAAATTTAGCAAAAGAAATCTACTGTGAGCTGGTGGAGAAAGAGAAGCCATATTTTCTGGATAATGTCTCTCATGACAAATACACAATGCTCAAGTTAATAAAACTCCAACACCCCACTGCTTAGTTTTGAAAGGTGAAGAAAAGTATTGCTGTTTAATTGTATTCAGAATAACCATAAACCTCAAGGAAGATGAGAGGGACATTTGCTGCAAACAAAACAAAGGATATATTCTTCCTTATGGAATTTATAACCTGTTAACATTTTAAGGGTATTTTTCACTTGTTTCAAGTTAGACTCATGTAAAAGATCCCTGGGGAAAGCAAGACTAAGGAGTATCATATTTTCCTGGGCTTCTGTGTAGCCATAGGTTTAAAAAAATTGTATTTATTGAGCCTGATCACCACTGAAATGAAAACCACATCTTTCCCTCTGCAGCACCCCTTACTCACCATGCCTGCTCTGGGGGCAATGGCACATCTCACAGTAAGGCAGCAGAGCATTGTTAGTGTAAGTGCAGGCACTGCAGTGCCAAACTTCATTTAAATCTGTACTTCCACTTGAAGCATTTAAGCCATGAGGACGGAGTTCACTGTTTTTTTCTGGAAACAAAGAAGGCTTTTTTCCATTCAGAGGTGTTTTCTTTTTATTACTGGAGCTGATTGGGGTTGATCCACTTATGCTCTTTGCTCTTTTGGCTTCATGTTCACAAATATCTTCATCACAAATTACCTCCACCTCACTTATCCTTGTGGAATCCAGGTTTTCATTGCTCTTCTCTGCACCCTCTTCTTTTGTGCCTGCAGAAGATTCTGAATCATTGTGTAACAATTCATCACCAGAAAATCTTTTGCGTTTCTTCTCCGTGGAGGATTTGGGGGAAAAGAAGGAACGGATGTCGTGCTGTCTGTCCTTTTCAAACTGGGGAAGAGGAAAGGAATAGGAATCACAGAATCATTTAGGTTGGAAAAGACCTCTGAACCCCACTAGTGACTGCATCAGAAACTGTTAAACAAAAGATATCTTTAACAAAAGACAACTTCAAGAACAAACAGTGAGCAGAAAAAGCAATTCAACATTCCTCTTCTGATTCCAGAAATGTATTTTCAATATTCTCCTGGAAATTCTGAAATGGCACTACCAGAAAACAGATACACAGAACTGATAAGCTGTGTGCTTTTTACGAAGATTTTCATTACACTGTTTTAAATATTAGTCCAATTAATTCAGCACAGTTAGCAAAGATGTGATTTGAACAGAAATTACTTGGTCTTATCTGACTCTGAAGGTGGCTCAGTCACCTAAACATAACATAAGGACCCATCAGAAGACAGAGATGACATTTATTCCCCATAGAGCACTTTTCCCAACTTCACCTAAGTTTTTAAATGAATTTACATGACTTTTTTCTATTTATTTGATGTTTCTCCATTAGTAATGTCTGAAGTGCACAGAAAGCTGAAGCAAATGGCTGCTACAATTTTTTTAAAATTAAAGGAAACAGAAAAAACAAAATTTCAAGTCTTACATGTGTAAATAAAAGTTCATTTTGGGGATCTTCTAGATTTTCATTTGGGGTCCAGGTTTCAGCAAAACTCAAAAAATCCCATTTGTCCTTATCCCCTTCTTCAGCCTGCATTTTCTCTTTCTTGCCATTCAAGGTGCTGCCTGTGACTTTGGCCTGCAGGAACACAATAATGGTAACTGCTGTATTTAGCACACTGTAACCAGTGAAACTATACACAAAATTTATTTTATTACACAAAAAAGTATTTATTGAAGATAGAAGAGAATACATACACTGTGTACACCCTCTAACAGCCTTAACATGTTTTGCTTGGCATGTGGAGACAAATACAGGCAGAATTATTTAGTGGCAGAACATGTAAGATAAATTGATGTTGAATTACTGAGCCCCACCTCAGGAGGAGGAGACTCATAATGCACCAGGCAGGATGAGCTTTAAGGACCTTTCCAACCTAAACCATAACAACAATTGGGTGATACTTGTGGAAAATGGCAACCAAAGAAAAGATTAGTGTCATCTTGGATCTACTGAAAAAGAATTATCTGAGAATGCCTCTTCCTCTCAGAAAGAAAGCTTAGTTTAGGCATAACATTCATTCAATTAAAATAAAACAATGCACAACAAATTCTAGCTGTTATGAGTGAGCAGAATGCCTGAATGACTGAAAATTATAGACTGAGAAACAACAGCAATAAAGAGCTGGAAGATAAAACAACCATCTTCTGTGGATATGAACCATCCCATTCCCCTTGGCAAAGACTCATTATCTTTGCATTCTGAATGAAGAGCAAAAAGCTAAAAGAGACTAAATCAGGACAAACAGACATTTTGATGATCAGCAAGTGTAGGTGTATCACTGTCTCAGAGTGTTCCAGACAAACAAGACTGCTGTGGCACTGGAGTGCAGCCCCAGCCCAGCGAGCTCTGCCCCCTCAGCCCCATGGCACTGTGTACTTTATACAAAGATTCTGCTAATGACACAAAACTGACTAAAGACATTTCATGCTTTTTATACTCTGCTTGTAAGCCACTGAAGAACACCAGTGTCACTAAAAAATATCTCAGGTTGTTTTCCAAGCACACGCACCTTGCGGTTGAGCATGGCCCACATGAAGGTGTCCATGGTTCCCTTGGCAATCAGGAAGTGAATGTTCACTGAGCTGCACTGCCCAATGCGGTGTGCTCTGTCTTCTGCTTGCTTAATGTGGCCTGGATCCCAGTACAATTCAGCAAACACAACGTGAGTGGCAGCAGTGAATGTTAAACCCTAAGCAGAATAAGTAGATGTATTCTTTAAAAAAAGATACCACACACAAAAGCTGATTATCTTTAGCTTTAACAAGCTACAGGTTGTACAGGAAATCTTAATATGGAAATAAGAGGTGGTCCTCAAGAGCAGATGGGTTTATTTTACTGATTCCTCCTTGTGCCTCAGATTCAAAAAATATTTCAATATTGTGCAAAGACTGCGTGTTGCTTTTCATTATGGAATAACATCTATTTCTTATTAATCTAGTGCTTTTAGAGAAACAGAGTTTTTCTAATTATTCAAGAATGAGATACTGCTGGTTATCATCATTTAGCTCAAACAAATTCAATAGAGGCTTAGAACAGTTAACATGATTAGTGCAAAGAAATGAACACAGGGTCTACAAAGGGCAAACTGCGTGAAGATAAACTGCCTTCAGTAAACCACTTCAATCATCAATGGTTTCAGCAGCTATATTCTTCAAGTGTTTGAGTTTTCATTTTTTCTGCTCTGCCCTACCTGACCAGCTGCCTGAATACTCAAAATAGCAACGCGGGTCTCGGGGTCCTTCTGGAACTGATTGACGAGGTGAATCCTCTCTGCAGAGGGAACGCTCCCATCGATGCGGATGTAGCGAGCCTGTGACATCAGAGCAGACGCTAAATGACATCCTCAGTGCCTGTTTCAGAGCCAATCCCTCCCTGTCCCCCAGTAAAAACAGGAAAAGGAGTGTACTATTCCTGTCATAGGGATCAGGATACACCAGCACTCTTTTGCCCTTTGATTTAAAATTCAAAGGGCAAAAGAGTGTCTCTGGAGAAGTGTAGACTTTGTATTCCCTGTTTGCAAAAGTAGAAGATAGAATGAACATGGGATCTTAAAATGAAATATTTCACAGAAGAATCTGGAGTTACCCTGACACCATTTTTTAAAATTCCAAACAGTTAAAAAGAATAAAAATACAACATTACAAAGTTAGGCACCATTCCCAAGCAATAGTTAAGAGTCCATGATCAAAATAAGGTGAAAGCTGTTTGCAAGCATTTTTACTGCTTTGAATTAAAAATTCAGGTGAGATGATAGTGTGCAGTTAAAACCTCTCAAAAATAGGCAGAAGCAAACCGATTGAAAAAATCTGGAAAGCAATTGCCTATATCATTGATTTAATAATAATAATAATACCAGATACAAGTGTGTTTACATAATCCTGAAACACAAAGCAGTTCTTCAGAACCACACAATCCCTTTTAATCCAGTGGCACTGATCTGTACACACAAAGTCCTTCCACTGCTGTACTCGTGTGCAGTTCTGCTGCTTTCAAACCCAGCCATCTGTGTAAGTGCAGGTGAATTTGTGTGCACGTTTGTGAAGGCTTTACCTTGCTCTCTATCACTGCCTCTGTGCAGGCTTGCAGCATGCTCAGGTGATGGGCAAAGACGAGGAACTTCAGTTTGTCATTGTCAAGCATCATTTTGATGTAGTCCTTGACTGCTCCTGCCTGCAGTGAGTGTTTTCATTAGTGAGACACACAAAAAGTTCAAAAAGGCATTTTTTATTTTCACATCTTTCAATTCCTTGTAACATGAAAAGGTAAATTTCCATATCTTTTGTTATCTATGTAACACTTTATCACACACTGACATTGCTAAGAATCAAATAATTCAGATTAATTTTGTTTTAAAAAAATATCACAACTTGATGTCTTTGAGAAACCTAGCTTCCTCCTTCAGAGAGAGAAAAAACACACATTTATCCTCAAAAGATCATATAATTACATGGCACTTCCTCCACATTAAGATGTAGATAAACACCCTTTTAATTCAGACATCATTATCTGATGTTTTAATCCATATTTGAGAAAAAGAAACATATTTCAAACAGACAAGATAATATTTAATCAGAACTTCTGTAGCCACACACACAAAGCCATATATCAAAACTGAAATAATAAATCTGATATGTTCACGATACCATAATCATAAAATATTGCTCTCTTTAAGCATTCATAGAATTCTTTTGTGTCAAATGTAATTTTCAGTATCTTTTGCAAAAGCCATTAAAGCAATGATGACAGTGAATAACAAAATTTATCAGTGACCAACAGTTAATGCAATACACATTGCAGTGGTCTTCAGATTTCTTTTTCATTGTAATGGGGTTCTGCCTATTCCATTCCTATTCCTATTCCATACAGGGAAAAAGAGAGTGTTTCTCCATGTCATGATTACCAAACAAACCAAATAACCTCATTTCGTATTCTGGCCAATAAAACCAATTTTATGAGGTTAAAAACACACACTGGATAATTTAGGGATATTAAGGAAAGACTTGCAGCTCACCTTGGCAATGGCTGTTTCCTTATACATGCGTGTGATCAGACTCATGACTTCAGAAAAGTGGCTTTCAGTGGCATCTGACCTCAGACTTCTCATTAACTTCTCCCACTCTGCAAAAGTGGCATTCAGATTCTAATTGGCAGGAGAGACCAGTGGTTAGACACAGAGTACAAAGTCCAGGCATGTTTTAAGTGTGAAATGTTTAGGAGCTTTGGAGAACTCTATCAAATTGGCTAAAAGTAAATGTGGGATTCAAAATCTATGGGAAAAGCAGACAGAAAAGAAGATTGTACTACAGTTAGAAAAAAAATTATCATTGATGAAAAAAAGAACTGCAGTATTAGTGTTCTTTGTGTTGTATTTTAAAAAACAGTAACAGAGATACTCTGCTTTATACTCACACAATCTTTATAACTACATATAGTACACATGCATACATAAAAGTACATCTCCATACATAGATATTTCCATTTATTAACAAATGTGTTTTTAACAAAAGTGGAAATTTTACCTTTGCTGCAGCTTGTGGGAGGTCAAATGGAATACGTTGCCTGACTTTGGGAGGCAGCTGAGTTAGGACATCATTCTTCAGTCTTCTGATCATTATTTCACTTAAAAGTTGATGTAGTTCCTCTAAGTTTGAAGCTCCTCTACAATCCCATTGCCTTCTTTTACCAAAAAACCTGAAAATGATAAATCAATACAGAGTGTAAACATGAGATCTTCCAAATTCAATAGAAATCTTCAGTACATAATCAATTTTAAAGCACACTATTGGATATTAAAGTGTGCTTCAACTTCTCAGCAGTCACCACTGCCTGCAGGAGTCACTGCCCATCACCTGCACACAATCCTCTGTCTGTTCCCACCTTCCCATACTTCACTGTCCACAGGAAACAGAAGGTTCAGTTTAATTTTGGAACTCCTGTTTCAATGGACTAATGAGAAGAATACACCACCATGGGAATAATCTTTATTATATTTCAGACAGGAAAGCCATCATGAAAACTGCAAATATCACCATTAATATTCCTTTTTTTCCCTCCCTAAGAATTCCTTCTTAGTTACTGTCAGAGACAGGATTTAAAGCTTAAGCTCTCATCTTTGAAAGTTAAATAGAGGAAGAAGGTCTAACATTAGGAAGCTAATGGCTGAAAAGAGAACACATTTATACATTTATTAACTCAATCTTCCTTATTCTTTCTTTGCTTTGCTGTTTTTGAGGAAGTGTTGCAGTAGCAACAACAGCTTTTCTCTGTCAGCATCACCAGGAGACAATAAAATAATGAACATGACAGAATTGGAGAAAAGCCCAGATAGCATTTTCCAGAGCTAGAAGAGTGTGTTAAAAGCATGTAATTTTAATAAAAAGACAAACAAACAGCCACAAAACCCCCCACAATAATTTAGAGATTTTCAAGCCTTATTAACTTTATCAACAGTGTTCTAATTAGCTGAATTAGCTGAATAGAATCCTTTGGGAAAGGGGCTGAGGGAGTCACTTCTGCACTGGTGAAGTGGGAATGGCACAGATGGAGACAGCAACATCTTTTGCTCATATCTCTTCCTTGGTCTATTTATATATCTGTCCTTATAAAGGTTTCCTTCCTCCACCCTCAGCATCAGGGATAAGACAGAAATGGCAGGCTAAACCTCACAGAAATAGTTTGGAGTTCATCTTTACAACAGGTGTCTATGGATATCTAAGGAAAAACCACCCCAATTTTCACAGGAAGTGCTGCATAAAATAATCCTATCAAGTTTTATTACCATAGGATGTTTTGTTCAGGCCAAGTCATGAAGAAAAAGTTATTCACTGAAAGCTTGCCAAAGCCTGAACTTGATTTTTATTACATTTATGGTATTCCAAAAATAAGATAATCATCTATGATTGAGTAGCTAACCATGCTGTACCCACGCACACTTGTGGTGTGAAAATTACAGATGCATTCAGTCAAAACACTGTGGAAAAAATAGCATTTCTCTGTCTGAAAATTAGACAGTGATCTTCCATGTTATTTGAAGTTAAATACTGATAAAGTGCATATGATGGAGGGAGGAAAACAAGTTTTATGAAAATGAAACCATGTAATTATTATTGTAAAAATTAAATCTAAATGCTAGCCAATTTAGCTGACAAAAATCTGTTATTCTGAATACATGCAAAGTTGTAGATATGAAATTTTTAGCTGAGACAGTCAGCCTGTGAAATACAGAGACAAGTACTGGACTTTTTTTCCCACCCAAATGTGGTGAGGTCACAAAAAACCTGGATCCCATAATAAAGAAAGATATAAATTATTACATGACCATGAGTTTATGACTCAGAGTCAAAAAACTTCAGTTCTGAAGGTAAAACCTCCACAGCTCCTACTAACAACAGTAAGTATATAAATAATTTTACTTAACAGAATGCTTCAACTTTATCTCAAACTTTAACAGCATTAATTAATTTATTTAATCAGTGTCATCCTTTTCCCAATGCTCTTTGATGGAGGAGATGGTTGCTGACCCTGGGTTTCAAAGCAAGATGGTGTGATAGAGCAGCAGAGGTGCTACCTACTGATTCTCTCACTTGGCAAGAAAGATCAAAAATGCTCATGAAAATGTAAATAAGAATGTAAATAAGCAAGGGCAGTAATACCTGACACGAGCATCACAGTATTTTTTAGCATATTCATTCCAAGTTCCAAATCTTCTTGGAAACAGTGCCTCAATCTGCATGAAGAGCTGTATAAAAAATAAAACAGCAACAGTGAAAAATGTAAAATTGCCTGTGAATGGAAGACTAATCAGAAATAATCAATGCATGGTTCTTGTGCTAAGTTTACATTTGATATTTGCACAAAACCCACACAGCTTGGCCTGCATGCAAAAGAAGTTCCACAGGATACAGGAGGCTTCAGAGAGGACAGTTGTGGGAAGCCCTGAAAGAACAGAGCACTCAGAGCACTGTAACAGCACTGACAGCCTGCAAAGGTTCCCATTCAACAAGAAAACATGGATGAGATGAAGTTATCCCTTAAATACAGTTTTCATCATTTGTCAGGTACATGGGCTTCTGCAAAGCTTCAGTGCAGGTGTTGCATGAGTGGCTGCTTCCTAAAATACATGAAAAACCTACTCAATTCTTAAGTTTTACTTCAAAAAATGGGCAATATCAATGCAGACCAGAAATTCCACTTTTTTTTTTTTTTTCCTGCTGAATAGCAGGAGGCAAATACCAGTTTAGATGACCTTAAGCAGGAGGAATCCTTCTTTACAAGCTGTTACACTGTCAAAGCTCCCTGGCTTCTGAGATCATTTTCTATACATTTAAAGACTTTTATACAAAGATTCTGCTTGTGACATAAAACTGATTAAAGACATCTAATGCTTTTTATACTCTGCCTTGTAAGCCACTGAAGAACATCAGTATCACTAAAAAATATCTCAAATTGTTCTCCATTCAGTCATGAATTTTGATCCCATTGCCGTGGTCAAGGACAGGTTGTATGGAATTTCCTTTAAAGACCTTTAACAATGATACTGGTCTCAATATTCATGTACTATATAAAGGCAGAACACTTTCTAACTTCAGTTCTTCATCCAGGGCTGGTTGCAATGTCATTGCACAGGAAATTTTAGTAATTATCCACACCCACAAACGTAAATATTCATATTAAATTTTTAGGTAAGTACTCGTGATATACCAAGCTCTTTTCCATACCACAAATATCTTCCTCAAGTTATGAACTCTTTGAACAAATTAAATTCATAAAGTGTCTTTGCATAAGTTCTATTTACACAGTAAGGAATTCTGAAGTATAAAATATTATTTATATAACCCTTTTAAGTTCCCTGAATTCAAATCAGCTCTTATATTCATTTATGTACCTATATACCCATTTTTCTCTTACATTTGAGAAATAAAGGCAGCTGTCTTGGGTTCAGTACAAAACCCAAGAGGGTTTTTGTTGCCTCTCTGCTCCTTCCCATTTCCATAAGCTGAATTTCCTTCAAAGGAAAATTTGTCATTCTGGATGTGCAACAAGCACAGCCTGTATTTTTTCCATTGAAGTGAATTAGGAATATCCAACAGACCAGTGACACTAAGGGCTTTCTTTATCAGATGATGAAGTAGAAGATTCATTACAAGATCTTGCCCACCAAAGACTCCCCTACCCAGGAGAAACAAGCAGTTCTCTGCTCAGGCTCTTTAGTTTTTATTTCACCCAACAATCAGTCTGTTACATGCAAGATTAATTTCTTACAAGAAACACTGTCTTAATTCACCAGTGCCCAAGCTTGAAACAAGTTTGTAAATGAACTCAAACAAAATTGGTTTTGTTTCTTATACTTGTCCTTCCTGATGCAGCCAGTGCAACTTTTGATGTCCTAATGCCTGTAATTGAATATATTCAAGGAAACTACAAAACTGAACATTTAATACTGATACTATCATTAAAAAAACCAAACAAAACCAAACCTAAAACAAATACATGTCAAATACCTCTTCAGGTCTTCCTAGAGCAGGAGTTCCAGTAAGGAGAACAGCTCTGAGAGCTTTCTGAACAATTGGCAGTAAAATCTTGCTACGGGTGGCATTTCTGGATTTCATGTAGTGTGACTCATCAATCACAACCACCTTAAACTTCTGCCTGTACAAAGTGTCCACCAAGGTCTGTGCATCAGATGTTAACAGCCCATACCCCAGGATTGTTACTTTGCTCGTTGCTATTCCCCTGAAAGAAAAAAGCCACAAGTTTTTTTAGTAAATTTTTATTGTAGGACAATTCATATAGCAGAGAGATTATAAAAAACTAATCTCAGAAGGGATGTGTGTCTCCTTTTGGACTGATTGACATGTGGGCTGTCAGGCTAACAACAACAGCTTTTGGTGTTTAAAACATCTCACACTTCTCAACCACACACATTTCATAACCATTTTCAGAGGACACACATTGCATTTCAAAAGAATTTCATTTATCTGGATGCATTGCTTCACCCTGTGCTCTTTTCCAGGGACATCCCATTGGAAAAACCTACTTTGTGGACAAAAAGTTACACACAAGCCAAGATCTTAATTAGCACCCAAACAGCTGAAGTAAAAATGTCTCTGTGCAAGCTTTCTACTGCTCTGGGTACAGAGAGCCCCTCAGCAGCCTGAGAGGGTTAATCAGACTGTCCCTGAGGATTTGGGCACTGTGAAAGCACAGACTGGGCTGAATCTCAGCACCTGGAAAAACCATTCCTGTCAGAGCTGCTACCCAGCTTTTTTGCTCAAATAGAACAAGAGGAAAAAAAACATCTGGAAGCAGGGAGTCAACATGGCACAGGATGAAAAAATAGTATTTAATTGAAAATGAACTTTTTAGAACAAATTTCAAGATGTATACAGGTCCAAGGCATGAACTGATATTAAAATCACTAGAGAGCACTGTGGCCCTTCAGGAGCAGCACAGAACTCACAGCTGTTAGACACACAATCACCAGGATGGGGTCAGAGCTGGTCCACCCATCTGTCAGACACCACTGCCCTGCTGGCATCATTTCTGATTGCTCTTCAGTACAAGAGATCAAGAAACCAAACAAGCTGAAGTTTCCTTGAGGATTTAAGAGGAAGAAAGTAAATGCAGCCACACATTCCTGCTCCTGGATGTGGAAGGGCAGTGGTTTGAGCACTGGCACTGTGGACACTGCAGACTCTGGCTGTCACTGTACAGATAAATGGAGCAACCAGGAAAGCATGAATTTCCCTTACCCTTTCTGAAGGGGACATTAAAAAAAATTACAAATAAACTTATTTATTTTAGTGGAACCAAATTATGCAAGAAACTTCCATTTTCAAATTTGGCCAGAAATTACAAAGTGATGCCTAAGTTTATTTTAACCTGTTTTAATCAAGAAGTTAACACTCAAGCAGTAAACCTGGAAGTTTTGAAGAAAAGCAAAGTATTAAACTGAGAGAAATCAAAGTTTAACATATGGAAGCAGAATTTAACAAAATGCTAAACCAAATTTGGCAGCTGTGTTTTTGCATTTTCTTACAAATGCATGAAACGCTTTCTAATGTTAAAATATTAATTAGTTCAACAGCAACCTCACTTATAGCTAGGAAACCTCCTGGGAGTTAAATGAGCAGAAACCCAAGTTTTCATCTTTCCTTCTTTTTGAATATAAGTAAGTAATAATAGTTAAGGTCTATTCCTTTTAAAAAATCTTAAAAGGAACAGAATTTCATCTGCCATTTAATTTTCCCATCATTTTGCCTAGTCCACATTTCCCCTTTATGCATCCAGCACTAGAAGCACTGAGTGCCTTTCAGATAAATACCTTTTAAAAAAAAAGCTAATTTTAGTTTTTTAATTCCTATGATGAATTTAAATTTTGACTATCAGTAGGAATTACCCTTTGATGAAGCTTTCAAAATGCATTTTCAGTTGGATTTCTGTGGTTACCAGGAAGGTTGTAAGCAGCACATCTTGGCAGTCAAGTCACTCTCTGATATTCTCAGAAAAGATGAAGATCAGTCTCCCTCACACCAAAATTTTAGAACAACATCTAAATATTAGCATAAAATCAACCAAGTCATTTACAGTAAAGCAGACAAAAGCCACCCTTGCAATTCAGGGTAGTAGGAGAGTTATCGTAATAACAGCCAAGCCACAGCCTCTCTGATGAATTCATGCTGTTAAATCTAAAAATAGAAAGCGTAGGGCACGATGACCTTTTCAGTTATTTAGGGATTACTTACTTGAACTTACAAATTTCCTCAGAGTGCTAAATGGAATTCTAACAGTAATTACTTCCTTATTTTGTAATGTACACCAGAAGTTCTCCAAAAATGTTTTACAGAAGCTAATGAATTCATCAGAATTGAGCATAACTGTGTATGTTCAATTTGAGACACACTGAAGTAAGCTAATTTTCAGCAGACAAGCATTTGCTACTTTGCAAAAAGCAGATGCCTCAACTTCAAAGAAAATGAGTAACTACTATAACACAAGAACAGAAAACTGGGAGGAGTTGCTGATAGCCCAGGGGATGTTTCTGATAGCCCAGGGGATGTTTCTGATAGCCCAGAGGGTAGCCCTGCTTGAGCAGGGGGTGGTGAGCAAGCCTTTCTAGAGAAGAACAACAAACTACTCACCCAATATCAGTTTTGTTCTGAATGATGCTGATGTCATCTGGAGAGAGCTCTGGAATCCACTTCTCCATCTCATCCACCCAAGGGTATTTCAGAGAGGAAGGCACTACAATTAGGAGAGGCCATTCATGTTTATAGTAATATGAAATGGCAATTGCTTGAATGGTTTTTCCTAGCCCCATCTGGGAAAAGAAAAGAAAAGAACATTAAAACCAGAAGTCTCTGCTCAGAAAGCATATTCCATTCAGAAGAGCCCAAAAGATTTTGCAGACAGAACCAAATAAAGGAAACCCAGTCAAAGAGTTACTTATATAGCATGTATTCAATTATCACTTTGTTACCACAGATCATCTTTTATGAAACAAGATTTTCCTAGTTAAATGTATTAATACATGTATTATATCTGGTTATCTCATCAAAGTCAGAAGAAGCATTTCCATTAATCTCAGAAGATTTTCAGTTCAGAGTCTTAATAGGAGAGACTAAAAAAATCAAACACTTTAACTTGTGAAGCTACTAAAAACATTTTTAAAAGACTATGCAAAGGAAAGAAAACTACAGGATATAGTAGTATATAATAACTTCTTACAACAACAACAACTTTGTCCTCAGTTGCACAGGCAAGTGAGGAACACAGACCTGTGGGAAGAGCTCTGGGTTTGACCCAGTGAGTCAAAAAAGAGAAACTCCTGCTCTGATTCAGCAGGGCTGATGGTTTGTCCTTGGCCTGCACCACAGAAGAGACAGCCCAGAGAGTGAAAATTCAGATGGACACACATGGGGTGGATTCAAAAGATCTACATTTAACAGGAAAGTACATTCTTCCTATTGCCAAGGTGGGAATGCTCCCATCTGTGAATAATCATGGCAGCAGATGTCTGTAAGACTCAGAATTTAGGGTTTTGGTTAAAAAATATCACACACTTCCCCCTCCACAGCAAAATTTTATCAAAGAATGCAGCTATTTTCTCAGCTTGTTCACGTGGCAGGAGATAATTCCCAGCTCCTGTGAAACACCAAAGCAGAGATGAGCCTTAAAATGCTCTGGGCAGGTTTTCCATGCAGTCCAGTGGACATCTGAGTGGATTTGCTGCTATCTAGCTACTCACAGCAGTGAGACATAAAACAACTTACATCTCCAGTATTGAGTCTAAATGGTCTGACTTAATGATGTAATGAAGAGATTTCCCAAGTACAAAAGAAAACAATGATTTTTTCTACTATTACTAGAAAGAAAATAATAGGAAAGCTACAGTGATACTCAGTTTTCATTCAAAATTGCCAAGTTTTCATTAAAATCTTCCTGCAAGTTTTTCCCTTGTGTCACCAGCAGTTTTTAGGTTATCTGAAAATAACTCCAAGTGAAAAAAAAACCCAAGAAAATAAGATTAATTTTTAGTTTGCTGCCATGGCTGTGCCCTAACTCAGGCTGTGCAGGCCCTGGTGACAATCCAGGCACTGGGTTGAAATGAATATGGAATAAAAGCCAGGCTTTTATCATCAGCACACCCAGGGCTGGATGCAGATCCCACACAGCTGATCGGCAGCTAGGGAACAATGAGAGAGACTAGAAAAACTGGAAAAAATATTATGGTCTTGGGTTTTGATATAAACCATCTTTCTCCAGCATGGAAATGGATGACACACTGAAATTTTAGGGGAAAAATTTTGTCTGTCTCCACTCTGAGAAGAAATAGAAACATATTTGGATATCATCTTTCAAAAAATACTGGTTTATCTTACTTTAATCCTTACATAGTTACACAGCCCAGGGATATGTACACTAATTCTCTGACCTTGAGTTTTCCTCCATAATTTCTCTTTACATACAAGCTCACAGTACTGATATTTAATTTTACCAACATTTTCCTATTCAGAGATAGGACAAAAGGCACAGGATACACACCAGTGCACAATATTCCTCCAGTGCCACACCTACTGTCATTACAAAATATACAACTTTTATGTTGGAATAAATGTATCTTCCAGGACTTTCTATTGCTAACATAATTATGCACAGCTCATTTTCTAGTTCAAGGCTGGAAATAAACTGTTTTAATAAAAAAATAGTTACTGCTGATATTTTGATTTTTCCCAAGCTTCCCTTTTCTCTTCCCCTGAATACTTTTGTATTCTCCACAGCTCCCAGATATTTTGCATTCTATGCCAGGATAGTTTATCTCCAGATGTAATGAGATTTTTATAGCATGAGGAGATGCTTAAATCCCAATAATCCATCTCCCTCTCCCTCCTAGTGTGTCAAGAAAACCCAAATTAGAATTGTGAGACTACAGCAATTCTCTTTTTCAGAAAGGTTTTGTACTTTCTACAAATACTTCAAGAACATTATTACAAAAATATTTTATCTGGGGGAAGAAATGCTGGACTCAGATTTCCTTGATGAGGAATACAACATATATTTTTAAATGTATGGATACAATAAATTTTACTATTACTACTTGATGAGAGCACTTTAAAAAATTCCTCTTTGGAAACCATATCTGTTAAAAATCTTTTTGGGCCAGGAATGTCTAATAATGCACTAAAAATAGCTCACTATGCAATTATAAAGCACTTTAAAAAATCAACTGACTCAGTGTTTTTAAAATGTAACAGTACAGGAGATTTAACCTACAATTAAAAGTAACCTTTTAAGTTTTCTCAAGGATTCTTCTAAACTTATGTCAGGTTCCAATTTTTCCCTCACTTAGGTATTTTCAGGATATCTGCTGACTATCACACAAATTAGGATTCTTTCATTACCAGCCTTTCTGCCCACACCTCTCAAACAAAAAAAGTCACATCTGCACCAAGTGCATTAACACCAGAAAAGACAGTGTTAGAGGAACAGGAACATCACTCACCTCATCAGCAATCATACACCTAAAGAGGAAACAAAAAAGGGGAGGAAAAGCAGAAATTAATACAAAATATAATACATAAACCAATACTTACAAATTGTTTACTATAAATTAAAATTCTGGATTTACAGAACCAATGAAAGGAAAAAAAGGCGACTTCATTCCTCCAGATATCACCTACAAAAAGTGAATTTGGTATGAACTGAAAATAAGTCTAACAATTCTTCTAAATATGTTTATTCAGTTTGCTGGCATTACTGCAGAACTTGCAATTGCAAAACTGAATTTCTGCCTAGGTCCAGGGATAGATGAATTGTAATCATAAGAGACACTTCCAAGGCAAGAAGGGTATCTTCAATTTTCTTTTGTCTTTCAGAAACAGCAACACTTCTGTGCTTCATGATTAAGGATTATTTGTATTTTAGATTGATTTCAAAAATGTGCTTTCCTGAGCTGTCACATTTGTTTTGAAATAGAAGCAGACACTCTCTCTCCCCCACCAATTGTACCAGCTACAGTATTAGAAAATGAATTTGATTTTTTGCCCATTTTGGAGTCACTTGGCAAAGCCACTCTGTGTAAAGACAATGACAACTCTGAGTCTCCAGTCATAAATAGTAAATTCTGTTCAGCATATTTACATTTTGTAAACATTAAATGCCATTTTTTACATGAATTTCTTAAAGGTACTTTAACCATTCTGGGATTCTATATGTATCCTTTGCATTGTGTAACTCAAATATAGCACTCCTTCCAGGAAAAAATGGCAAAGATCTTCCAGGTCTTAGTGTCTTTAACAAAATTTAACACAACAAGATAAAAACATTCTGTATTTTGATCCAGAAAAATCTTTCCAAGTAATACAGAACTGCTTTTTTAGTGGTAGCTACTCTGGAGTTAGTGGAGCTGGCCAAAAAAAGATAAAATATTTGATATTTTCAGAAACACAGTATAATGCTGTTTGCTCACTGCCTGCCAGTATAAATTCCTGTGGCTACTAACTTCTGCATTTCATTCAACTGAGGTAAAAAATTGATTTAAATTATACAACTTCATTTTTGTAAGCAACAAACTATCTATTTGCAATTGCTTTGCAACTTCCCCTCCCCAGCTGTTAGGGATGGACCAAAGAAAACACAGAAAGAAAATAAAACAAAACAAAGCCCCAAGCCTGCACAGATTTACAAAGGAATAAAAAGGCAGGAAGACAATAATTTTTAGTGGCAACTCATGATTGTGAGACCTCAATGTCTGTGATTTGCAGCTGGGCAAAGACATTTATTTGCAGACAACTAACACACAATTCTAATTTAAAAATAATGTCAGTTTTTGCTCAAAGACTTTTTTTCCCCATTCAATACTCATTGTTAATTGCTTGAACTGAAGTTTACAAAACAAGTCTTTCTTTTTTGCAGATTCTTTGAGGCCAACTGCTTCCAGTACATTAATCATGTTTTTAAAAAACAGTTTGAGGCCTGAAATCAATTGGAATGCACAATAACCTACTGTTGCAGTAGAACTCCTTACACAAATGCAGCAAATGAGTGAGGCTACAACAAACAGCTACAGAGCACAGACAGCTCAAGATAAACCACAGACCTCCTTCAACAATAAAGATAATTTATTGTAGGAATATCAGAGCTGAAGTACAAATATAGCAATAACCAAGCTGCATCTGGTAGCAAGAAAATGTGGTAAAGAGGACAGGAATAAAAGTACTCCTTGCCAACTTCTGCTGCAAATACAGTATTTCTCGGCAAATCAATTTAAATTTTAGTAGAATTGCATAAATAGTGAAATGTTAATTACTCCAGTTCAGACAAACAGAAAAAGTGAGAATAGGTAGGATCCTGTTGCACTACTCTTTGGCACAGGTGAACTATTTGGATGCTCCTTCTTCCCTTCAGGATAACAAGCAAAAATGAAGTAATTCAGAGTGATCTACAAATGGCTCTGACAATTAGAAACTGAATAGCAAATAAAAAACTACCCACTTTAAAGGCATGTCAACCACAGGAACATGTTTTCCATAAAGCTAGATTCCTTCATCAGAGTGACATGTAGCCACCTAAACACTGATGACTTTATCTGATGACAAATAAGAAATGGTTCTGCTTTCCTTTTTGCACTCATTTTCAGGCTATACTCATAAAATCTTTGCAGAGTATCTCCTGTTTTCAATGTCTATTAACTTCCACTGATTATGTCCTTAAGTTAAATTTCTTATGTAGCAGCAACAAAGTTGATGACTTTCAAATATTTATAGAAACTCATCAATTTGTTGCTGGTAAATGAAGGAAAGTACAAAGTAGCTGCCATCATAATAATAACAATAATAATTTACCCATAATAACTCTGCAAACAGAGGTTACATTAAGTGATCAACAGAGTTTTATCTTCCTCATTTCTGCAGCACCAATAGAAACAGAGCCACAGAAACACCCCTATGCTTAAAGCTGGGGATCTCTGGTGATATGTTTACTTTGAGAAGTACTCACTCTCTTCTCCTGCCCAATGATGAAATTGCTTTGTCATAAGTAGTTGGGATTTTCTTCCTGTACTTGCAATCCAGCCAATTTTCAGCATTTCAAATTTGACCAGACACATCATAGCTTGAGATCAATCAAGTGCACTAAATTGGTTTTAAAGCTCCAGTTAGAGTTATCTGAATGTGTAAAGTCCCCTGTGATTACACAGTTAGTGACATGAATCACTGCTTGGATCCACACTGCTCAGACTCAAACTCCTGAAGTGCTACAGTTTTTAAATTGCTAATTTATGCCAACTAATTAACATTATTGACACTCACACTTGACAAAGTTTTAACATGGCACACAAGATTGAGTTTGTGATACAGGTAGGAGTTAATGGAAGTGGAAATGGAGGATATTCCATTTATTTTATGACATAATGCATTTTAAAGCATTCATCTGTGTAGCTTTCATAGTTTTAATACAAGAATTCTAAAGATGTCTGCCTAATGTAGTTACAAAACATAAGAAGTCCAAATTATTTTCATTGGATTCTGGGGCAATGAAAAACACCTTATAGAGGAGAGGAAATCATGAAATGTCTCCAGTTTATAATCACAACAATTAGATTTGAAGTGTAAAGAACTTTCCTATCTCTATAGCCCACATCACACAGAACTTCCAAGATACCTAATAGTTAGTTTTAGCACCAAGCTGCTAAAAAGCAATACTTTACATAATCTTAAAAATATGCAGCCTCTATTTAAAACAAACTTCAGTATGTTCTACATTACTGCAGTCAGACAAGCTGCGAACATGGACATAAAGGTTCCATGCTGTCAAAAGCAGAAGAAACAGATCTTCAGCTACGTTGAAGGGACAAATATGTATTTTTGTTTCACATATTTTGACTGCAAGAAGACAGACTTCTTGTTCTCTGAAGTTCAATTAGTCATTTCCTCTCAACTGGTAGTTACCCAATCTGAGCTTCATCATTCATGTCCCATCTGTTCATATGACACCTTAATAATAGCTCTATCCAAGAATATAAATCAGAGCTATGATACATAGATTCATATCCTGTTAGAAGCTCAGCCCACATGGTCAAAAGTTTCAGAAAAGCATGGAAAAAAGGAATTTGAGATGTCTCAGTTGCACTTGCTCTCAGCAGCAAAGTCCAACCATGCAAAAAGCACCAGTCAATGGCAAATTCCTTCAGATTCTTTTGCATTTAATCTTTAAATGTTTCCCTTCTTCAGAGTGAATCCTGTGGTTTGTGTTTGAATCTCTGTCCATTCATCAAGGAAATCTATTTTTTCCTAGCAGAAAGCAGCAGAATCTCATTGGGATGCACTGCACATGCTGCTACAACCTTGCTGCTATTCATAACCCTTGTGCAGTGTAGGGTCAGCAATGGCCTCCAGACACAGCAGGATCTTTCACAAATAGAAGGGAAACATCATTTGGGCCTCCACCAGACTGTAACAGCCCCAGCATTTTGAGGTGTATTAGCCTGAAAATAAAAGTACATTTTTCTTCTATCAAGCAAACACAAAGAGCTTTGAGTGAGGATGTACCTGGTGAGTGAACATGCCTGCAGAGAATGAGGTCTCTGTGCTGGTGCACCTAAGGTGCACACAGGCCCAAAACCTTACTGCTGTTCACCAAAGAGAACAAATGCAAGCACCTGAGGCCGCACACAAACCCCAGCTTTCTTCTGCATGGAGAGAATCCATAACTGAAGGGACCACCCAAAGCTGGATGAGTCAGAACCCCAGAACCAGACCTTCAGCACTATCACCTTCAGCACTATGGTTGGTACTTGATACCTTGTAAAGGTACCAAGCACCAGGCAAAGGTGCATTTATACATTCTAACTACAGCAAACCTTGGAGGGAAACCTGCAACAAGCAAAAAAACAGGTGAAGGAGCTAAGAAAGAAAGCCAAAACTCCTGACAGAACCCTCCGAAAGCTCTATCAGGAAAGCTCTGCTTCTAAAAGGACAGAAAAAATAATTTTTCAAACCTCAAAAAACACAGAAAGAGTTCCTGGTTGTGTTGATGTCAAGAAGATTGGAATCAGCTTCGCAAAGCAGAAGGACAAGCAGATCTTTCAAATTTTATGCAGATGAGTTCATTGGAGAAACAGAAGGAAACTGAGGCCAAGCTCATGTGGCATATGCCATAGAGACATACAAAAATAGTCTGCATCAGAAGGTTAATGCTCACACAGTTTTATAAAATGAGTTTCAGGGAAGAACAAACATTTAAATGAAAATCATTTCTATTTCTGGGTTCCATTTGGGTCACCCCTTTTGAAATGTCAGCACTATTAACCATGCAAACAATACAGCTAAAGTTTCTTCTATTAGTTATGGCTACTGCAGTAAGGTATTTTTGTAAAGAGAAAGAATCTCATTTTGAACTTTGCTCTTGGAGGAATATTGATTAACAACACACTGGAATTAAGGTCTCTACAACCAAGGATCCTACCAAGTCAAAAGCCTGGTGTTAGAGCTTTCTTGTAAATATAGAAACATTTAGATAATAT